GCCAGTGAGCTGCGGGCTGGCTGGTCAGGTGTGAAGCGCGTAGCCAATGGGAAGGAGGGAGGGCGGGAGAGAGGTTGTTGCCGGGCTGAGGGGTGGAGTTTGCCTTCCCACGGCTGGGCGGGCTGGGGCTCGGGCTCGCAGCGATGGCGGACGGGGGCACAGGGTAGGGCCGCAATAGAGGCCCTGGCTCTGGGGCTCTGTTGCACCACAGGCACGGCCAAGGTATAAGGGCGGCTGGCTTTGAAGTTCTGAGCTTAAAGTCTGTTCCCGGCCTGCTGTGGGCAGGGAGCCGTGGGCCCTGTGCGGTACGATAAGAGGCAGCAGTGCTTTATCCTGTTGTGCCTTGGACACCGCTAACGCCGCCCAGAGAAGCTGTGGCTGCCCCATCCCTGGCGGTGTTCAAGGCCAGGTTGGACACGGGGGCTTGGAGCAAGCTGCTCTAGTGGAAGGGGTCCCTGCCCGTGGCAGGGGCTGGAGGAGCTTTGAGGTCCCTTCAACTCAAACCAGTCCATGACATGTATCTGCTTCCAACAGGACTGGGCTGTAACAGGCTGAGGGCAACCAGCTACGATCACCGTGTTCATTTCGGAAGGGGTCGAAGTATTGCTGCAGAGGGCTTATCTTCAAATGGTTGAGTCACTTTGCAGTAACGAAGCCTGCAGTTCGTCATTAATCATTGTGGAGACCTGTCTATGGATGCTTACTCAAATCAGTTCCATTAAAAGACTTTCATTCAGTGCCATCTAGTGGTTTTCACAGTGCGCTCCAGGCAGCGTTGCATGAAAACCAAATTTAATTGCTAAAGTTGTATGTACTTAAACATATTTTTATTTAGAGGGCAAAGAAGCAAACTGTTTAGGCTTTGTTTTGCAACATTTCACCTAGAGCTGTAAACCCCGGGTATTGAAGCAGTGCCCGTGTTCTAAATGAACAGCTAAGCTGACTGAGGCTGGTTACAAGTGGCAAAGCCATCTTCCCACTCAGAAATGAAAACTACCTTCAGTGCAAAACCTTTCTGGAAATGAGTATTCCAGGAATGAAGGTATATTTGCTGTCATACACACTGGCATGATAATAAAGTCAAAACCACAGTGCTGAGCTTTGTAAGAAGGGACCAGCATCAACTAACTGTGTGGTCAACAGACCGTGGGGTGAAATTGCTGGGGGTATAAATACAGACTTGTAGTGACCTTTGGCTGTTCCACAAGCAGTGTCCATCCCGGTTAAGGGCATCTTTCATGCTTCAAGAGTTTTGTCTTGGCAGGGCTATTACAGTGGTTGTCCAAAGATTGGTTTGTGATCACTTCTAAACTGACAGCTTAAGAGGCATTTGTATTAGGTCTCAAATAGGTACTGGGTTTTGGTGAGGAGCATGAGAGGCTTAACAGAAACTGTGCTTACTTACAGAACTTGCAGTTGGCTATATGTTGGAAGTAAGATAATCACAGCCTTAAACGCTGTAAGAGTGATATAATTTAAGTCTGAAACTGCTCATTTGGTTTTGGCAGGGTTTTTGACATCCGTCACCTGAGTAAATGTAGTGATGTCTGTGCCCACATAGTACAGATTTCCCTAGTGTGCACTGGGGCATCATCCTGGGAAACAGGAGATCCAGTTTTCATCTCAATCCAATGGAAGTGGGAGCATGCTTGTGTGCAGCAGGGTTAGTGGGTGGTAAATCTGATCTGCACACTTCAGTGTAGCTATGAGGACAAACTACCTCAGATTCCCTCACACCTTCCACAGATAACAGCATGCGTGGCGGCAGCTACTGCAGCAGAGCTTCTTACCATGTCACCACCATCTGTTTTCTTCCTCTTCAGTGACCCAGCTCAGGGAGCTGATTCGTCTGGAAACTCATCATTTTTGTTGGTAAGTACAGCTTTCCTTTCAATCACATCCTTGACGTGGAGTAATTCGTGGCTGCACAAGCATTGCTGCTGCAAGCTGTGTGTTGTGGGGATGGTGTGAAGAGCTCGAGTGTTACACAGCTCACATCAGGCTAAGCTGTCAAGAAATGGTGTTTAAATCCTGACAATGTCTGAAAGTGAATATTAAAAGGAAACGTTAGCAGGATAACTTATTTCTGTGTCTGACTCTCCTCTGTGACAAGAGGTGTATCAGAGCTGATATAGGTACCTTCTACTACAAATAACAATCCTGCTTTTCCTAAAGTGGTGTTTTGCTACCAGAGGGGAACCAGCAATTCACTAGCTAATATTTAATTAGGTAAAGAGTTAGCACTCTTTTCTTGCATTGCCTTGTTATGTTAAACCAAGGAGGCAGTAACCAGTGATTAAGTACAGAGAGGTTTCTACTCTTTGTAACTCTTCTGTTGGGTTTCCATGGGGCTGGAGCCTGTAGCTGTTATACAAAGCAGTGAGAGTGAAGAGGAGTCTTCACAGTGTGAAAAATGACAGCACTAGAGCCAGATGTGCTAAAAATTCAATAGCCTTCCCTATGCTGACAAAGGAAATCCCACAGAATGGTTCACCTTGCACTGAGGAGACCATCTGTGGCAGAACCCATGACCTGATGCTGATTAGAGACTTAATTATAAGTAACACTAATTGAAATAATAAAGTGCTGTAGCTGTGTGTAACGTTAGCTTATTCTTGAGGTTTGTATTCATAGCAGAAGCACATGAGAGTGTCAGCAGAAAGCCACATTGAACTGTGTGAAATGAAGCAGTACTTCCTGAGTGAGCTTTAATAGTGACAGCACAAATTAAAGTACTGATACTAAAGCTGCTGCTAAGGTGAATGTCAGTTGTAAATGTTACATTAACACAAACTGTTAATGGGCTTGTCTCATTCACAAGAGAAACTATAAAAAAGGTATATCCTAGAAATCATATTTACTCACTCTTAAGGACTCCACAGGAATGAGACCTTTGATGGAGTCTTGGCTTTCAGTAGTTTGTGCCTTTTTTCTACCTTGATATAAATAGGATATAAATAGTAAACCACTAATTATTCATGCCAGTTCTTTGCTAAATAACAGCCAATATTTCTGTAAATTTATATTAATCCCATATGCTCTTATGGAATTACGCTTGTATTACCTAAGGGTAAAAGAATTGGGTTTTGGAACCCTGAGAAAGATTGCAGAGGAAACAGCTCTTTTCCCCTAAATCCAGTTATGGTAATGTGGAAAGATTTTATGGATATTATATTGGGGCAATAGATGGAATAAATAATATCAGATTGTTTAGCTAAAAATAAGTGTTAAGCAGAATATCACTCCAGTACATGGAGATTCCAATGTACAGAACTATGAAAGCCTAAAGTATACAGCAGAGTTAGTTAACTTCTGGCTGAAATATTGCCAGTCTTTAACCGAAACATGTGCAGCATCTAGCAGAAACATCAGGTTTGTAACAGGATCTATTAGCAATAGATCAATAGATAGGCTATCCAGTTAGAGGACAAGCAAAATGTAGCTGCATGCAAAGCAAGGCAAATGGAGATTTAGGAAACTGGGGGGTTTAAAAGCTCCTATGAGGTGTAGTCAAGGATTTTACAGTTGGAAATTTGGTCTCCAATGGAGCTAAATTGTGAAGTCCAGTAACACATGGCAGGTTTGTTTTCCAAAGGCTGTAAGAAGCTAGAATAATAGAACTGTAGTGTTGGTTGACTTAGTCTTTTGTTTAGAATTTCCTATAGTAAGACCCAGGAAGATAAAAGGAGATTAAGAAGTGTTTAGGCTTGTTTCCTTATTTCAAGTCTCACCCTGCAGCCCCATTAAGACAAAAAGAGAAAGGGAAGATATCAGTGCCTTATATTTGTTGTGTTTGTACACAGCTCACTACTGGAGACTGTGTTCTATTAAGACAAAGAAAGTAAACGAAGGTATCCTGAGTCTGTTTTACTATAAATGGTATTTCTGTGCTGTTATAGTTCCATTTCAGTGGTCTTATCTAGTGTAAAACTGGTGCAATGAAATGGAGAATCCATTTGAAAATTAGGGCTTATGGCCTCGCAGCTTGTAACATGAGAAGTATAGTAAAATGAGGCCAGGACTGATGAGATTAAAGAGGACTGTCATGAAACTCATTTAAGACAATGACAGAGGTTGAATTCCTTTGGGATTTATAGTTTGGGCTTATTATTCTGATGAGGGCAGTCAACAGACTGCAAATATGTTTTCTCCTCCTGCAATGAATTCAAATACTGGGGCATGGATGGATGGATTTCCAGCTGTGTGTTGCTAGGGGTTCTGTGCAGCTGGAGGGCTTAGAAATTCCTGGAATTGAGAAATTCTCTAACTTCCAGCACTATTTTGTTTAATTCCTATGTTGCAACCCTCTTCTGTACCTTAATGCACAAATATCTTGGTTTGAGATAGAAGTCCCTTAGTTTAAGCAACAGCAAATCTATTGGGTTTTTCTACCACCAACTCTCACAGAGCAAAATTCAGGTTCAGGGTACACAAAATCCATAAAGATAAGTGTTATTCAACATATTTATAATGGGAGGTAGGAAGATTTGCCTCCTGTATTTCCTGATGGGAAGAGAGTCCGTGCCAACAGCCCTGCTGAGCCTTCTAGGGATGCACAGGCTGCCCATGATAGGCCGTCACTGACTTGCCTCTGCGTGCAGAGGCATAAAATGAGTGGATTTGAGATTAGAAGGCCTACCTCATAAAGGCAGTCTGTCTGAATATTACAAAGGGAACCTGCTTGAACAACTTGAAGAGTAGAAAATCAGTACAATAGAAAAACCAAACTCTCCCAGCATGCTTGAAAATATGCAGATCACTTAGATATGACCACGTACACTACAGCAGGAGTGGATCTGTGGAGGTAAAGGGTTAGTCTGATCCCCACACACTGTACGCTTTTGGGGGGCTTTACCTCAAACTCACTCTTGTCTGGTTCTGTGGCCTGGACACACAGTTTCATCTGAGAGAGATCCAGGTTGTACACTCAAGATGACTCTGGGAGACAGAGCAAAGTAAGGCGGGAGGGGATGTTTGAGCAGCTCGCTTCAGAAGTGCACTGTAAATCCAAATAGAACTTTAATACAGATCCACCTCAGTTTCTTGATGTTAAATCACTGGAACAATGAGGAGTGCTGCACTGCTGAGATGCTTTACCCATAGATCGCAAAGACTGTTACAAGTATGGTTAAAGATGATAGCTTTCTCCAAGAGATAGTCACTGGCTGGTTCCCTTGACTTCCTTAGGAGCTGAGAAGGGAAGCTCTTTACACAGCAGTCAGTTCTTACCCAGAGATTCAAAGTAAATCACTGTCAGAGCAAGGGCTGGTGTAGATCTGGTCCATAATGCTTATTCTTCTTTCACTACACTGTACTACAAACCTTAGCTTTCTTTCATTTTAGTGTGCCTTTTGATGAGTTTAGCAATTTTTAACATTCAGGACAACAAAAAGAAATCAGAAATCTTCTTGCTTGATGGTGTTAGGACCATAGGTGAGTTTGCTTGCCTGCTGTGGATGCAAGTACGTGACAGAGGGAGCTCTCAGTCACAAGTCAAAGAACAAGTCACCAAGGACAAAACCATTCTCACAAATGGTTCTTGCACCAACTCTGCTGACTCCTGTCCTGCCCAGTCCAGGAATTCCAGCTAGGGATCCATGGTCATGCTTGGGAACATGAACAATCCCTTTGAGCTTATGCTGGGATGTTCAGCTGTTGCAGCTTCTTCTCCCACACAGTTTGATTTCTTTATTGTACATTTTAAAACCCCAACTCCTGATGAAAACTCTGCCATAGCCAGGCACCTCCTTCCCGGATCCCAGTAGTGGGGGCTTGATTTCAAAGCTTGGTTTCTATCCTTTTTCATCCCAGATGGGCTAAACACTTTCCTCTTCTTTTGTGATGCTGTAATCTGTTAGCAGTGTAACACTGATTTCTGAGCCACACGTGCTGCCTGTGATGGATGGGGCTCTGGTCGGTGTGTTGTGGGTAGCACTGGGAGGCTTTGAACGAAGCTTTGCCTTACAGCATGAGACTTGCTTTTTAAAGTGTTGCCTGAAACTTTTACTCAGCCAATAAAGAGCAAAAGGATTGATGCAGGAATTGCTGAAGGCCAAGGCACGGGAAAAAATAGTAGCTATCAGATGGAAGGTGGAAGCATCGACAGAAGCGTGGTATGTGAAGGAGCGGTATAGGTAGAGGATGTGGTTGGGCAACCAGCAGAAGGCAAACAAAGCAACAAGCACCAGCACTGTTTTTGCAACCCTCTTGCGGGATTCAATCTAGGAGAAAGTGATGCAGATCTGGTGTTAATAGCAATTAGTTCCATGGGTTTATGTAGTTGGGGCTCATTTTCAAAGGGGCCTAAAAAGCTAAATCCATTAGGAACCAAAAAAAAAAAGAACCCACCACAAAATGGAAAAAACCTCCAAAACACCAAAATCAAAAACTAACCCAAGAAACCAACAGAAAAATAAATCTATATATTTAACAAGGTATTTCCACACATTCCCTTTCCATTATAAATCACATGTTGAGCTCATCTAGACTGGGATTTACGTATAATAGTTAATGTGTCAGCTCACATGGATGAGGTCTCTGTTTACAATACAACACTTGAACTCCTGAGTTTAATATGGCCGTAACAAAGCAAAACAAACTCCATCCCTCTCTAGGAGAGCACACACACTCACACCTTAATGAGTCATGAGCATGTGCATAGTGGAGTTTGGATTGTTAATATGAGCTGAGTTTATGGAGGATTGAACTTCCATTATCAGGTAAAGGTTGGGTACTCAAGACTTCAGACTTAATCACACTTTAGTGCTTGATCATAGCTTACCTGCTTACGGGCATGACCGTGTTCTTCTGCTGGCATGTTGGAGGTGCTCTTATATAAAGTTCTGGCGATTAGAAAATAGTAGACAGAAATGACAGCTAAGGGTATAATATAGAACACTAAGAAGCAAACCAGGGAGTGAGCTTCCTGCAGGATCTTCTCAGTCACAGGATAGGGGGCACATGCCTCGAAAGTTACATTCTTCTTGGGGTCGCTGAAAGAATACAAGTCGGAGAAGACAGCCTCTGGGATAGCGAATATCATGGAGACGATCCAAACGCAGCCCGCTTTACAGCAGGTCTTCAGGAGCGCATCTGAAGTCTGCAGTTCCAAGGGCTTAACGATGGCTCTGTACCTAAAACCAACCAACACCATGGTCAGAAGGAACACAGGAGTAACGCAAGCACCGACAGTGCGAACCTGAGGATAAACCATCCCTGTTCTCGCTAAGCTGAGGGTGGGAGAATCATCTTGGATATGAAAACAGCTCTTTGTAATTAAGATGGAAATACAGGAGGTAATTTTAAATATGTATTTTAATGACTTGGCTGGCAGGACTTGTCATTAAAGCCTTCCTAAGTAAAGATGACTTCTAAGTTTGGATTAGGATCAGTAAAGGCAGTCATCTCTCCTATGTTTATGGTGCTGCCTAGAAAGGTAAATGAGGGAATTAGCATGTACAACTGGTAAAGGTATGAAATAGGTTAACTGTTTTATCAGTACATGAAACCAAGCACGTAGACCCCTCCTTTCTCCCATGATTTTAAGACCCCAGATGAGTGCAGTGATCTGACTCCAAGCAATACTCCAGTACTCATTCATATGTATAAAACAGGAGCTAACACTGCTGTTGATTCATGGCTGTGATTCTGCAGCATGTGGACTGAGTCAGACATAGGAGAAAAATCTGGGTAAATCGATGGATGTGTGAAAATCTGTGTGAAAATGGGATGTGGGAAAAGAACTAACTGCCACAAAGGAAATTGTACCCTGCTCCCAGAGTATCAGGGACTCTTGATGACGGAGAAAGAAGAGAAAAAGGATCCAGAGGATGTGACAGCTTAGTTGTACCATTTTGCACAACCTGAGGATCTGCTCTTTTTCTCCTCTAGGCAAATTTACATAGAAAACTGGAAGCTGGATTGCTCTTTATCGAATACATACTGGTTTTGTTGACTTGGAACTCTTCTAGCATACTGGAACATGATAGTCTGGCACGACTGATGTTCTTACTAAGTTTATCATATAGTTACCCTGTGAAAACGCAGCATAGAGTATTTACATAACAGCTACCATGAAGAATTAACTGTCTAAATCATAGAATTATAGAATAGTTGGGGTTGGAAGGGTTGAAAGAGACCTTTAAAGGCCATCTAGTCCATGATTGCATCTGAACTGACATCATACAGGACCAAGACCTTGGAGCTATAATATACAGTTCATTGGAAACATGAGCTTAATATTCAGCAGGACTTAAAACCCACACCAAACCCTAAAGAAACAGCAAGAAAGCAAAATGTTAGGAATTATTATGGAAAAAAAAAATGAAGAGAAAAAGAGACTATTAAGCAATTATCTGTATCTCTGGTCCATGCAACCCTCAAACACCATGTGCTGCTCTGCAAACCTTAACTCAAGCCCCCCCATAGTAAGCGTGGAATAGATATATAACATGAATAGCCTGGAGAGATGGATAGGGATAATCGCTGTCTCTTCTGGCACAAGAGTCAGGGTCATCAAATGAAGCCAAAGCATAGTAAAAGAACGGAGTTGTTTATGCAACAGGCAGTGAAAATCAATGCTAAACAAGTACAAGAAGAGGGTGAACAAGGATCTACAAGAGAAATCCCCTGAAGTTATTAAATAAACAGAAACCTCATTTGCTCAGGAGGTGATGTGAAGGCTTAGGGCTTAAGCGTAGTGTTGGACAGTGATTTTTACTCTTCCTATATGTCTTTTGTGGTCCTCACACTGGAGGCTGGTATTGGCCTACATGGACCCTTGGTCTCACGCAGTGTGGCCATTCCTGTGCTGGAGTACAGTAACAGTAGCATTGATTAAACTCTGGACTTGCTGTTAGATACAATCCAGTTACTGGCATACAAGATGGAAGTCTTTTTCTCTATTAATATTAATATTTATTTCAGGTTTTTCTGCTCCTTGGCATGCTAATGCTGATTGAACTGAAATCTCATCTTAGATTTGTTCATTCAGGAAGGAAGTGCATGGCAAAGCAGTCAGATGGGAGTGCTGATCCCATCTAACAGTGCTCTCCTCATCACCTAAGTTTAATTTCAGAACCTCTGGGCTGAAGAATCTCTGGAAAAGGTAAAAGAACCTTAAGAGACAATACTCAAAATGTGTCACATCACACTAAGCCCTCATCAAACTGAAAATTACTGTGTAGTGCTGCAGTAACCATCAAGGCATGAGAGTCATCTGTTTGTTCCCCAATCTGTTCTGTGTTTTCCTTTGGCTTGCAATCCCCATATGTCAATCTTTTATGTTGTAGGATTTAAAGCCTCGCTGAGTGCACAGGACAAAGGATTTCCACTCAGTCGTTTTTAGGTTTATTTTTCATCTTCCCTGACTACTTTAGTGCACCACTAGATAGCACCAATCTACTGTCTTATCCCTGCATTAAGCCATTTCCCCATTCTGTACAATAGAGGAAAAGAACCCCGTAGTACTGTACTTCAAGCTAATAAAAGGTCAGAAGACTTTTAAGAGCCTTTCTCACTTCACTCCATTAAAAAGAACTGCTCTGAGTTTTCTAAGACACATTTTAAAATGAAATGGGAGAATGGTTGATTTGGGGTTTGTTTTTGGTCTATCACAATTAAAACATGCACAAACTGATCACTTCTGCTCTTTTATTCGTTTCTAGCTTCACCCCAGAGGTATCTCCTGGCAAATGAGTTGCATCAGACCCACCTGTCAGCACTGAGAACAGTCAGGGTAAACACTGAGACTCCAACTGAGGTTAACTGGATGAAAGACAGCAGCTTGCACCCAATCCTTCCGAAGAGCCAGGTATCCACAATGTACCGGGTGGCATCTATAGGCACACAAGTCAATAAAAGCAGGAGGTCTCCAAACGCCAGGCTGGTGATGAAGATGTTTGGAACTGTCTGCATGGATTTAATCTTGAAAAATACTTTGATGAGTATTGCATTTCCAAGGAGCCCCACGGAAATGATCACCGAGTATGTAATGTAAATGGTGCACAGTATTTCCAATCCTGGGAAGGAGTCTTCGGTCCATTCTTCGGTTGTGGTTTCATTATCAATGATCGATTTCAGCTCTGTACCGTCTGTAGACGCACGCAAAGTCTCATTAGTTGAAGGCGAGTATAGTTGAGACATCTCTTCAACTGCTTCTTCTCCCCAGGCTGGACTTAAATCAATCACAACATTAACATTTAGCTTCCAGCATATCAGCAAGAGAAAGATACAGATTTGCAGCTGAAATTAAGATTCCCATGGCACATTAACTACTTTCATCCCCTTCTGGGTTTCAAAACATGCCTAGGAGAAATGCACACGGATCTTGTTCTGAACTGTGTAGGAGGTGGAGAATTTTGTTATTGGCTTTTCAGCTGGTGGAGCAGAGAGGGAGGAGGAAAGGAGAAAAGTGGAGTTTCTTTAAAGATTTTAGCTGAAAGGATGGTTTCTCTTGGAAGTATCTGGCAAGTACTTGTGGTTACTGCAGCATTAGGGTTTGCATCGGTTGCAAATGATTGTTAAAATCTGTCAGTATACTCTAAGAAGGAAATCAAAGGAAAACCTGAAATAGTTTTCTCAGCAGTACAGGTAAGCATAGAATAGACTAATTCACCACAAAGCTCTACAGTATATCTTAATGACAGATAACTCAGAATATAGTGTTTGCTGGAAAAGCCATAGAGACAGCCTGTGCTTGTCTGTACTCTGTTTAATCCATTTATCACAGACATGCAGTAACCTTCCAAAAGGCAATATAAGGTTGATATTTATGGCCGTACCCCTGCTAACTCTTACATTAAAGATTAGGTTTGTCCCTTGAAATAATCCCATTGCCATCGAAACCACAACTCATGCTGGAGTTTGAACAGGTTTATAGGTGCCATACAGAAGCCTGTTATCTTGCAGTAATCCATGTAGTTACTGGCTTTGGATGGTACGACAAATGATTCAGATCATCTAGGAGAGAACCAACTTTTCCTGATGCTGCCTCGATCAACCATGTTAGTACTATGTGGTTTCTTATATTTAAATTTGTCAACTCTTGAACTCTGCCCTATGATGAGCTCCTGATTATCTTTAATAAATAAGGTACAAGGAATGGGACCTACTTAGTTAAATCTCCTGAAACTAAGAAAGCCAAGATCGAATCTCTAAATAGTGCAAGTGGAAAAGATAGCAAAGGACTGAGCTTAATGCCTTGAAAATGAAGATCACAGGCTCAGGCTGGAGGGTATTTTCCCCCAGCCAGTTCTCAGCTGTGAAGTTCAAGTGGAGAAGGTTCCCTGCTCAGATCACACAGATCCCTTATCTTCAGCTGCACACAGCCACAGCCACACCAAATCAAGTTGATTTCATTGACTCAAAAAGACTCCCCTGTGAAAAGTCTTATTTTCCCTCTCCCATTCCCAGTCTTGCAAACACAACTATGCCATCGGTATCGAATGGTGGTAGACCAGATGGGAGATGGTCAGCAGACTGAAGCTGTGGCCAGGTGGGAGAAGGAGTCACTGATCCAAAAAGGATGAATGGGTTAAACATTCCAGTTCCATTTGTTTTTAGAGTGCTTTTAGAAGAGAAGTTCTTGTCATGATGAACCATACTATAGCTTATGCAGGCACACTGTGTAGGTTGCTCACACATTTAGGTACCTTTGAGGATGCCCAATTATGTTGTCCACCCACAGTGGCGTAGTACTGTGGATTATATTTAATCTAGAGTTCAGTGAGTGTAGCAGATTGTGACAGCTTAATGTCAGGTACTTACATAAAATGTTTAGATTTCCTCTGCAGGAGAAGGAGGGCATCAACAAACACCAGCAACTGATTTCTTTCCACCAAGTGTTGAATACTCAAAGGTGGCATCTGAATGAAACATCAGGTGTTTAGCTGAAACTGGCATTTAGGATGAAGGAAACTAGTTACTTGCTTCTAATTGCACTAAGGGTTGGTTGATGCACCAAAGTTCAGTGAGCAGAATAGATCCCAGCCTCTTACGTTCCCCAAGGCTTTCAGAACCATCAGAGGGAGTAGAGCTGACAACATGAAATCTGAGGCTCGGTTTATTCTGTCACTCAATCATTTTGTACAGCAGGATGGAGGACCTGAACTAACACCCCTCTGTGTAAGAGAGAATCCAGAGGACCAGAGGCTCTTGAGCTATGAGATGTTCCCAACAGTTGGTCTGGGGATAATTGAGGTTAGAAGGGAAAGATGACAGACATTCCCAACCCATATTTAAACCTCTTAAGGACACCACCATGTGCCATGGGTGAAAGCAGCCCCTGAAAGTAACAAGGGTTTATAATTCTGCTTACACCTGGTTACATGTGCTGTTAATTCCAAACTGGACCTCAATTCATGTATATAGAATGTATATGACCCTGAATGCTCAATCTGGTGCTTCACACTTTGGAAGCCTGCATTACCTGGAAGCACAGACACATTCTCCCTGCTCTGTCTCTAATAGGACACAGTGCATGTGTTTAACCCTGCTCACAGCAGCATGAACCTCTCTCTGCTTGGGTTTCTCTTTCTACTGAGAGATTGTATTTTCCCCGGCTTTCTGCCTCCTTGGGGGAATCTGGCAGAAGGAAGCTCCTTCGTTTCCCACACTTCTTCCTACAGTCCTGGGATTAGAATCATAGAATCATAGAATAGTATTACTGCAGGAACCTTCATTCCTCACTCGCACTCATCTACTGCCTTCTCAGCCTCCTTCAGTCTCTGCAAGGCTGTGGCCAGCCGCTCTCGGGCACCATCCAGCTCCTTTTCCATGAGCTATTCAGCCACATTTGCTTCTTATGGAGCATAAGATACTGTCTTAGTCAATCATTAGGGGAGAGGGACTCTTCGTCAGGGACTGTAACAACAGGAGAAGAGGGAATGGCTTTAACCTGCCCGAGGGGAGACTGAGATGAGCTCTTAGGCAGAAGCTCTTCCCTGTGAGGGTGCTGAGGTGCTGGCACAGGGTGCCCAGAGAAGCTGTGGCTGCCCCATCCCTGGCAGTGTTCAAGGGCAGGTTGGACACAGGGGCTTGGAGCAAGCTGCTCTAGTGGAAGGGGTCCCTGCCCATGGCAGGGGTTGGAGCTGGAGGAGCTTTGAGGTCCTTTCCAACACAAACCAGGCTGGGATTCTATAACATTCTCAAGACCAAACAACAGCCTGAGGGACATCCAGTAAACATGAAATCTGCAATTTGTTTATGAGGGTAGAATTTCAGTGTTTCTGTTCGTTTTGTGTGCTCTTCGATACTGACATGGGTAGAAACCAGGCAGGAAAAAAACACCATGTTTTAAACACAGATTCTGATAGCTTTCAGTTGTGCAAATCCAGCTGAAAATGAAAAGAGTGGCGTCATTATTGTAACCAGTAAACAACTCTAAGGCATTCTTTTAGAGCAGTATCTTCTGGTGTGAAGAGAAAAGCAATTTGGGTAATTCTGGCTGTTGTTTTAAGTACCAGCCTTCGAAGAAAATGAATGTTCCTTTTGAGCTCCATGCTGCAAAAAAAATGGAGTCAAATACTCAAGAGAATAGCGTTTAGCTGTGTTTTTAATGCAAATCGTCTGTTTGAATGCAGTGTGAATCCTGTCTGAAGTCCCATGTGCTGCATAGAGTCACCCGCTCAGAAAAAGCTCTTTGGGTACCATTTCCTGTGTGTCAAGCCAAAAAACAGAGAGGAGAGCCAAAACCTTCCCTCCATCACAGAAGCAGACTTGCCAAAATGGTAATTATTTTGTGTAGTGTAATGATGTTATTTCAGCATACATTGCAATAATGGTCATGCTGCATTGATTGTTATTTATACAAGTATGTCAAAATGCTTTGTAGCTACAGTGCCAGGAGCACAAAAGTGAACTGCAGCTGCATTAGCCAGCCTGGGGTGGGGGGGGTTAGGATTATTTTAACTCACTTTCTTAGGTCATTATTTGTATCTTTTCTGCATAAAACTATTTAGTTGTCTTCATTGCTCTTTTGTATCTCAAACTCCTTTTCGACCCTTGCTTTGATTGTCTCCCCCAGCAACATGGCCATCTGTTTATTGCTGGCTGGTTTATCTTTCTGTCTCTCCACTGATGTTTATGTTCTCTGGGTGTTAACAGCAGAGAGATACCAAACAGCTTGTCTATCCTAGCCCTGCATTGTGGTAGTCGCTGTTGTGGCATCCTCTCTCATAAAAGGCTTTTCTCAGATGAAGATCTCTTCTACAGATGAGCCCAAATGCTATCCATGTGCCCAGCCTGTTCAGCACAGAGCAGGACTCTGCCATTGGGGCACCACAGGCACATTCCTCTTACACCTCCCTCGACCTGCTGGAAAAAGGAGGGGACAAACAGTATCGTAACTCATGTCAATACTAAGAATGAAGCTTTTATCTGACAGCTTTTATATGGGCTGTGTGACTTGTGTGACTATTCCCAGTCCATTTCTCAGTGTTCAAGCAGCCAGGTGTTGAATGGGAAAGCCCAAATGTACACCTGAAGTGAGCATCAATGTCAGAGACAGCAGGCCATGTTTAAAGTAAGTTACTAACACACCCAGGGCTGTTTCCACTTCTGCTATGTCTGAATCCAGGCTATTCAGTGGAGTCAGTGGGACTCAGTCTGCCTGTGACAGGATCTCAAGTGCTGACATTAATCAATGGCTTCAAATACCTTTTATCCTGTTTCTCCATTCTTGCATCCCTTCCAGCCTCCTTTTCCAAGGGTTTCCTCAGCCGGTTTCAGTATGGGAATGGCGAGGAAAAACTGGTGTCATTTCTTAGAAGAGAGAGAAAAATAAACACTGGAATGTACCTTTGAATTCCTTCCATTACAGCAACAAGCAGGCAATGGAGTAATACAGCAAGCACAATTCTTTTGGACATCCTTGAAATGCTCAATAATCCATTTAATTTAGAACCATTAGAGTGCCATTACATGCTAAATTCTTTCTGATACCTCGAAGCACACAGTATTGTGCATTAAGACTTAACCATCATCTTATGCAATGGGTAATTATCTTCCCAGTGTTTTGATTTTTAATCTTAACTCATTTCTCATAATGACATTCCTTTTGTTGCCCCAGTAATAACTGTCTGCTAAATGGAGAGAGAATTATACATCTTGGGCATCAGTATTGCTAAAGTGTATTACAAACCACTGCTGTAGATTCATAAACTTAAACAAGCTGCACTGACCTTTACCTGTCATCCTGTGTAATGTTCTCTATCTATGGTTGTTAAAGCATGGTACATGCATTGAGCTGGAAGGCAGCTTGTCCATACAGAGATGTGAAAAGGCTCCAGGGACCCTTGAGTGAGCTGCTTAGACCTTGGATTTGCATCCACTGACTTAACTGGTATGAAGGGTGGTGGTTCCATGCTGGTCTAAACAGCAAGATGGGAGTGAAGAGGGTTTTGCCCCACTCACCCCAGCTGCTGCAGTGATTTTACTATCATTTGTGTTTCTTCTGCACCATCTAACCTATTGTTAACAGCCCACTGAGATCTGACATTAAATAATTGTCTCCATAGATAACTATACTGTCAGAAATCCTCCTTCCATTGGTTTAAAATAGAGCACGCATTTCTTGGTGTGTGTATATCACTAAAAATAAGCTATCTAGGAGTAAATGAGACTGACTTAGAAATCAGGGGAGCTTTCAGATTGCTGTTTTCTCAGCAAGGGAGCAGAGCCAACTGATACAATCCAGCCTGCAGGGAGGAGGATGCATCTGCATCACTGGCACGCTCCTGCTCATCAGGTAACGCTCAAGCCAGAGCTGCGGATGCTGCTCCCATCCCTTAGAATGATGAGGATGTGAACCACAAGCACATGGGAATTCTGCATTGGGTTTGACTTTGTGCATATCCTCTCCCTGTGCAAACCCTCAGTGCACAGTTCTGTGGCAGAATGTCGGTGTAGATACATTAGAGTAGAGCAAATGTAATAGGTGCTGAAGATACAATTTCAGCCCAAAGAAAATGACACATCCTCATTCCGGCTGACAACCAAAACAATGCCGTGCTTGAACCAGGGATGCTGCACTGGTTAGGTGGAAAAGCTATTAGACGTATGACGGAGAGCAAATAGCACTTAGCATTTTGCATAAGAAGTTGACAGGTTTTAAAACATTTCCTTCAGCTTTTGCTTTTTGAATGGAAAAATCAAATCACCAGCAAGAATGGAGGCCCATCCATGCAGCCTGCTCTGCTTCCCTCTGTCCCACCTCTAAAGCAGGGAACATGCTGATGGCTCTGTCCAAGAAAGACTGAGAAGTCTTCAGTATTCCAACACTTTTCTCACTGCTTCTCCAGATTTTATCCAAATCTTTGTTGCTGCTAATAATTGAATGTTGTTATGAAGGCAATTAGCAAAAACTTTAGAAAACCACGGTGCATTTTGTCTTTATCAGGAGTGTAATGAAACATAGAATCCCTGACTGGTTTGTGTTGGAAGGGACCTTAAAGCCCATCCAGCTCCAACCCCTGCCACGGGCAGGGACACCTTCCACTAGAGCAGCTTGCTCCAAGCCCCTGTGTCCAACCTGCCCTTGAACACTGCCAGGGATGGGGCAGCCACAGCTTCTCTGTGCACCCTGTGCCAGCGCCTCAGCACCCTCACAGGGAAGAGCTTCTGCCTAAGAGCTCATCTCAGTCTCCCCTCAGGCAGGTTAAAGCCATTCCCCCCTGCCCCAGTTCCTGTACAGACCTCCACAGCCTCCTTTCTTCCCTCACCCAGGACTCCCCTTTAGGTATACAGTAGCCCGTTTAGGGACGCAAGGGGACCCAGGCCCAGCCCTAGCACACAGCACCATGGCACACCATGTCCTGCTTCTCATCAGAAAGCAGGGAAAACTTGTATTCAGCAGCAGGATTTGGAACAAAGAGTTTACTAATGAAAATACAGAATACAAGCAGAGGATGCTAGTTCAAGTGTCCAACATACTTTACATTCAGTTTCTCTCTCGATGAAAGCAGTTCCAAGTGAAAACATCTGGGTCCGAGGTGAAACTTGTTTGTATGTTTTCAATGCTAACGTTACTCCCAGAAAGTCAAGGAAGGGGAGGTGAGCTGTCTCCTTTCAAGTAGGCTGGCTGCAGCTACTGTACATTGAAATACTCATCTTTTCCTACTAATTGCTGTGTGGGAGTTATTCACAGAATGAAAGAACCTTTTGTATTCGCTATCGTACATACCACCTCTAAGACATGGCTCCGCTATACTTCGTTACTTCTCTGTGATCTGAGCAGGTTAGTGTTTTACTCTATTAGCAATCATCAACAAACCTTTACTTGAGTGATACAGAGAAGGGCATTCAAAACTGAAACTAGGATTTGATTGTGCAGGCAAGTTACTGATTCAAACCCATCTGCTGAAAGTAAGCTCCCCTTTGGTAGGGGGCAAGCATGTAAACGTGCCTCTACATCTCCTTTGAGATCTGTATGTAAGCCAGCAGCGCCAACACGTCTGAAAGTAAAAACATGAAACTGGAAGGAAGAGTTTAGGAAACTGAGTCAGATTTCTTAATGTATAAGTGGACCAAAGTCCACCAAAGAAAAAGGAAGGAAAGACACTGATGGGAACTTTGACACCCACGCGTGAGACAGCAAACAGGCTCAAAACTGTGGCTTGAAACTCAGTGGTATGGGTATTAGGTTCTGAGGATAAGAATCAAGTGAAGAGAAGAGCACAGGGATGGCAGGAGGGTGTAAAGAGAAGAAAAAAGAGGACAAACTCAGAGAAGGGTGAACCATGAGGAAGAGGATGATTCCAGTCTCTGTTTAATCTCGGAAACACTGGGGGACCAACTCCTTACGTGGTCAGTAGTGCCACTCCACTGAAGCCTAGAGCACCCTATAGGGATGGCTTAGCTCTCTAATTGTGTTCAGAGTGATAACTCTACATTAGAAGTCATTCTTTAGACCAATGTTTATTTCTACATGCCACAAAAAAAGAACCATCCTTAGAGCATCAGAAGAAACCAAATTCAGTATCAATGAAGAAACGTTGCTTTCGGTGGATAGTGCAGCCCTGGATCCATGGGGAATATTCTTTGTGAGCAAGGATGTTTGGTCTCAGCGTCTTCTGGGAGCAAAGCACTGGGGTTGGAATGAACTTCAGCTATGGAAAAGAATGAGAAGTTTTCCATTATAATGTTCCATTCTAATCTATTTAGAAAGAAACGTGTCTGTGCAGAACTCACCCATTTAACCACTTTGGGGAAATAACAGAAATCAACGTGGTTCCAAAAGCAACCGGGAATAGTTGCTTAGGTCAGAATTCCTATAAAAGCATTCCTAATTCAGAACATGGGTCTGCAGCAATTTCTCCACCTTGGAAAGCAAACCCTCCTGCTGGGATTCTCCTGCATTAACCAGGCTCACAGCAGGTCCTGCTCAGCTTTCTGTGCTCCCCAAGGTCTTTGCTCTTTTGGGAATGCATGGGAGAAGCTATAGTGCTCCCAGACTGGAAGTATGTCCCATGAGAATGACAGCCAGGTGGCCCAGGGTAGAACATCTCTTAGGTGCTTAAGGTGGAAACTGAGCAGAGAATTCCCTTCCTTTTGCAGAAGAGCCATACAACAGGATCTTAAGGACTTACTTAGTACAGCAAAAGCCATCTGTAATGTAGCCATTAACCCCAAACTGAAGCCTGGCAGAGACAAAGCAATGAAAGGGCTCCTGTTTATTGCCATGGGTTGGGAGTTGGCAGTCACCACATGGAACCAGTGCACACTTTCTTACCCATCCTAAAATGTCTATCTGAAGAAGTCCTGGGAAGGAAATCTGAACCATTGAACATGGAACTTGTTCCATTAGAATTTAGATTCCACATAGCCTGGGATGGTGAGTTGGGGTTTAAACACTTTGGTGTAGATCCAGCAGCTGCACCTGACCCATTCCAGTCTGAAATCAGAAAGTGGAAGGCACAGGAATAAACTTCTCTATATTCACATCTCAAACTATGATAAATCAGGGAGGAGAATGGTCTGTGCTTGCCTCTTGTGCCACTTTTGTACCTGCCTTGAAGCCATGGGTCCCTGTGCAGCACAACTGCTGTTAGCTTTCACACTGGCTCTGTCACACTTGTACCAGCAACCCAGTCTTCTATTTCCTAGTTAGTGACCCAATCTAATTTGGATAAGGCCGTATCAAAGAAGACAGAAGGTACACACTAAACCAACTGATTTACCTTCTCCTTTGGTATACCCATTTGTAACGTCAACTACTTTTGATAGGCACACAGAGGTACTGAAGTCTCCAAGTTCTTCCACATTTCTGTGCAGAATCAGCATTGCTGGGGTAGCCCAGAACAAGCCACAGCACTTGTTATTTCTTGCTGAGCTGGCAGATAGCAGAATCTTACTATGATTTAGGTTGGAAGGGACCTTCGGGGGTCTTCACTTTAACCTCCTGCCCAGAGCTGGATCAGCTTGGTCAGGCCACTGGCATCTATTCAACTACTTTCCTTCTGAAATAGTGTGTTTCCTTATAAATAGTGGCTATTTCCATAGCTGCAGCTTATGTCCTTTGCCTCTTCCTGCTGTGCACCTCTGAGAAGAGTCTCTTCTCTACAACCACCCCTCAGATAGCCAGACAGTGGTTATATTCCGTTCTTCCCAGGCTGAGCAAAGCCTGCTCCTGCACATGAAAGTTAGCTACTGCTATGTCCAATATCCTACCTAAATCTCTAAATCTCAGCTTTATGAAGACTGGAAGGCCACCAAAATCATAGCTCACATAAGAGAACACTGAATGTGAGAACAGAATTAGAGACCAAGCTAAAACCTCTTTTGGTAATCTACATTTGACTGCGTGCTGTCACCCCACCATCATATCACATCAGCAGCTATTGGAAGAGGATAAAGAGCTGTTAAGGAGCAATTATCCAATGCAATGCAGAAGGGCTGTAGAGGGGATCCTTATTTCTTAAAGCAGCAGAAGACTTATGAGTGAAGCTAAACAAATCCCCTCAGTGCTTACCAGAGTAGTTACTCCGCCGACATCTCCCCCAGCAGAAGTGTACTCGGCACTGCTTCACTACTTCTTCCTTCATTAGGCAGTGAAACACAAAGATAAAGAACCCTAAAGAAGTAAGCAGAGAAATTCACAGGGTTTCAGGTGGATTCTCCAGCCTGCTGCCCCTTTCCTATGTTTTCTGCATGCCACTCAGTTACCAGTAGGTTACGTATGGGCAGAGAGAGGTGGAACCTGGACCAGAACTGCACCGAGTCCTTTGTGCACATCTAAGGGTAATGGGAAGAGCTTTCTGCAGATTTGGTATCAAAATAATCTGCAAGTCACTGTAGATTCTATCAACCATTTCTGTGCCCAGATGAAAAGGATTGTGCCACCCTGAAAAGGATGAATTTACTGGGACCCATGTTTCACAGGCTTGAGTTTGCATCTTTACTAGTATATCTATCCCAGCAACACTATTTAAACACCACTATCATCCCACTGCAATGGAGCTTTCCCATTACAATAGCTAAACACTGTAACATAAAAGCCATATAACCTCTTCCCCATGCTTGAACTACATGATAATGCATATTTATTTCTGTTCCATGGCCCTAAACTGTTGTATTTGTAACAGTATTCCATTCAGATATTACCTTGCAAGGTGTTAAAGATGCTGAAGAGATATAAGAACAATATCCTCACTGCTCCCCAGGCAAAAAAGACAAAGCCCCAAGTTAAGCCCAAAAGGAACATCAAACTGAAAGCACTTTTGAGGTCTTGGAGAAAACTTCGTTTCCAGAACCTGGATCTCTTGAGTGTCCTGGATTTCATGGAGTGGATTTGAAGGAGAACAGTGATGAACATGGCTGTGTTGATCAAAAATATCAAGAAGATGTAGGCCACAACGGAGATGTAAAACACTGTGTTCTCCTGAATCCAGCAGCTGCAAGAAAGGGAGGTACGTGTTCAGTGAGGAGTTCTATGAGCAATGAAACTAAGGAAGCCTGGTTCCCGATATAAGTGTCTTGTATGGTTCTCCAAACCCTAGTAAGGAGCATTCCCTAACAGCAATCACTTCCCGTCAGTGAGGACATCCATAGAGTCTCCACACTTGCCTTTTTTACAGATGTTACAGAAATTCAACTTTAATATTTCTGAGACTTTAATATTTCTGCCAAATTCAGATAAACCTGGCAATCGTTACACAACTTCCTAATGTAACTAATGTACTAATGTTCGTAAATATAATTCTTATTATACTAATATTAATAATTAACATCATCCGGGACTGTAGCTACAGGACAAGGGCCAATGGGTTCATACTGAAACAGGGGAAGTTCAAATTGGAGATAAGGCAGAAGCTCTTCCCTGTGAGGGTGCTGAGGCGCTGGCACAGGGTGCCCAGAGAAGCTGTGGCTGCCCCATCCCTGGCAGTGTTCAAGGGCAGGTTGGACACAGGGGCTTGGAGCAAGCTGCTCTAGTGGAAGGTGTCCCTGCCCGTGGCAGGGGTTGGAACTGGAGGAGCTTTAAGGTCCCCTCAACCCAAACCAGTCTGGGATTCTATGGTTCTACACACACAAAGAAACCCTGCCTTAGGAAAACTGAGTTAAATACCACTTCATTAGGATAACACAGAGATGAGCCCTGGTTAGCTTTTCCTCAGGCATAAGTGAGTTTTACTGCCTTTTTTGCTGGAGATGGGTAACAGTTTTCCCTCTGAGGTGTCCTGGGCGTGTGTTGCCTCTCTGATGGGATAGAATTCAAATATCCCAGGTAATCTTCCCCAGGAAGTGATCAGATCATGCCAAACAGAAAGCAGGTGAAAAAATGGAGCATTCTTTACTGGAAAATCCTTCTTTAAAAAGGATGAAAGAATGCAGCCTTTTCCCCCAGGAAAAGGGAGGATGGTGAGATGAGGTCAATAAAAGAATTGGAAATGATGAAGAGACAGTGACAGTGAATTGACATTAAAAAAAAAACAGAAACAAAGGTGCAAAATCCAAAGCCATTATTCTGCCTTTAGGTTTTCCCAGGAACTTAGAACATGCAGGAGCAGATACAAATGAGACCGAGTTATCCATGAGAATGAGACATATACATCAGACTGAGCTAATGTCATGTAAAGAAAGAGATTTCCCAGACAGCACACATGGAGTTGACTGGCAGAAGCCCTCCCTGTCCTCAAGCCCAGTCCACTGGTGTGAGAGAATTACTCCATGTAGTAGCTGTACATCCAAACTGATCCAATGAACCAGAACCACTAAAAGGAGAGGATTAAGATGGGGGAGAAAAGACCGAAGCCAGAGAAGAGTTGTTCTGGTTATTTCTTGTGTCTTTTAGATATTCTGTTGACCATCAAAAAGCTTATACTTACAAGTTGCTGAATGGATTGCTCTCTGAGAGTGATCCATCGCCATAGAAGTCTTTATTTATAATGAGCACAGTAGAAATGACGAGAGCTGGTATTCCTAGTATGGAAGACAACAGGAAAAGAAATACTTAGATTAATAAGAAAATATGGAGCCTATGGAAAGATGTCAGCTAATCTGACGGGTACACAGCAGACTCGGACATCTTTGGATCAAACCGTACCCCTAAGGATCCCCTTTGAGACAAGTGTAATTCAATGCGTGGCAGAGCAGGCTTAATCTCCTTATTTATGTAAATTACAAACGAGTAGGCATGAAAATATCTGTGTTTGCAAAATGTTTGTGAGTGTTCAAACAGCTCCAGAAGGGATCCAATCTGGTTCAATGAAATTAAGTGATTAGTACAAACAGCAGCGTCACGAGATAAGCAGACCACAGCATTTTGTGTTAAGATCCAATAGAAACAGATGTTTCCCAGGCAGTGTCTTCCCTTCAGCCCACTTCCCATTTCCTGGATTTCTTTCAGTCCTGGTTTTTCTGCTGGGGACGGCTGCCACCAACATCACCATCACGGAGGGCTGAGAACTACTATGTGCCACCTGAGATCTAGGGGTAAGGATGATGACATTCAAAAGCCTAATAACCCCTTTAAAATGGCATCTCATGGCAACCCAAAACACACAGATCAGATTCTGCTCTGGGTTAGTGCCTCTGATAACATCTCTTAAGAGCTGAGCCAGTATTTTGGGTTCTTTTGGTTATGTTTCTCCCAAACAAGTCTCTGATGCTCAGTTCTTGGAGGAAAAGTGAATGAATTAAGTCCTCAGGAGAGTTATGAATGAAAGCCAAATCCAGCCCCCATGGGGGAATCATGCATAGAATAGCAGGTAAAAAGCCTAGAGAAGGAGATTAAAATCACTTCTGAGCATCACCAGCACAGAGATGAAGGCTGTGGGCAGCTCATACTTCCTCAGACACACGCACTGCTGTGAGATGCCATGATAAAGCATCCCTGTAAGAGAGAAGGAGGGGTAGGGAAAGCTGTTCCTTATGCCCACTTCCACCTTTCCTTGCATATGACCATGCAGGGAGCAACAGGTACACCCTACAGAAGAGGTGCTTACTTACCCCAGCCAGCAATAGAGCATTTTAGGATGTACTTTGGGACGTAGACATTGAAAACCTTGACGAGAGCCAAGTAAAACTGAACAGACTCCAGACACATCCACGTGAAAGCTGCAAGGAGGAAATAGTGAAGGAGCACGGCCACGGTGATACAGAGAGCTGGCTGGTTGAAGGAGGCCAGCCAGGAATCGGTGAGGAAGACCACATTCAGCATCAGCAGCGCAGCACAAAGGTTGAGCAGGAGTTTTGCAGGGTTGTCTCTCCGCAGCTTTCTAAAAGGAATGGGAAGGTCCACAGGGTTGTCATTGCAGGACTTATGCTGGGTGCATTCACTAGTGCCAAGTAGCACAAATGGGTGTTTGTTATGTTACAGATTGAGTTCTTGTGGTATGAGATGAACGACAGAGATGCTGCAAGGCCTGGAGCAGCTCTGCTCTGGAGCCAGGCTGGGTCAGCCGGGAGAAGAGAAGGCTCCTGAAGGGGAGACCTGAGAGCAGCTCCAGTGCCCAAAGGGGCTGCAGGAAACCTGGAGAGGGGCTTGGGACAAGGGATGTAGGGACAGGCCAAGGGGAATGGCTTTAACCTGCCCGAGGGGAGACTGAGCTGAGCTCTTAGGCAGAAGCTCTTCCCTGTGAGGGTGCTGAGGCGCTGGCACAGGGTGCCCAGAGAAGCTGTGGCTGCCCCATCCCTGGCAGTGTTCAAGGGCAGGTTGGACACAGGGGCTTGGAGCAAGCTGCTCTAGTGGAAGGGGTCCCTGCTCATGGCAGGGGTTGGGACTGGAGGAGCTTTGGGGTCCCTTCCAACACAAACCAGGCTGGGATTCTGTTATTCGATAAGTTGTGTCTTCATGAGTGTTTTGTACCAGTGGGTAAGTTTATGAAATTACTGAAAATAAGGAACATGGAAGTTGCTGAGCAGTTCAGACCAGGGCTTGTACTGAAGCATGAGTGTTTGGATCCCTCTTATTTTGCCATGGTCATGGGTTAAAATAAAGCAACATTTACATCTTCCCTCCTATGCATCACAGCACCAAATATCACCAAACCTTCTGATAGTTGCTTCAAATTCATTATTACAATAGGAGTAAAAAGGACATAGGAAAAAGGATCATACTTACTCAAGGGCTAGATATGTCACCAGTGTTAAACACAGAAACAGGGAAGAAGCACCACATCCTGCATAGCTTATCAGAGTTAATATTCGCTCCTGTGTGGTATCTATCTCCGTCCGGGCCAAGTCCTACGTAACAAGATAAGAAATCACTCTTGTTTGCCATAACAGATAATGAAAATTCATTTCCACCTTTCATATTGATAAAGAAATTTATTTCCATCCTGCTTATTGTGACTTTTGGAGGGTTTCCATTAATATTGCTATTGAAGGTAATAGGGCTGGCATTACCCCGTTGCGATGGCTGTATCCTGCTGGGATTAGACAACTTCAGCCTACTCAGCTTGCTCTGACCTTGCCTATCCCTTTGCATGTGTTGCAGCCCATTCTCAGGCAGTCATCTCAGGTTTGGCATTCAGCTTTTAGACGCAGTTTTCCCTGTATTATAGATTTAAAATGACATCTCCCATATTTATATGAAGCTTTCCTTTTTGACAGAGCACAGATTCCACTTGCAGGAAGATGTGACTTCACTAGCTGCCACTGACAGGAAGTAAGCTTAACACAGTATTTCCAATGCAGCAAATAACACATTAACGGAGTTGATGATTGCAAAAGAAGTCCAAACTACATCTTGTGAAATGAATTTGCCTTGAAGCAAGTCTGTTGTCTAACAGCAAGTCTAAATGTCTAATGAAGACCTTTAGAGGACTTTATACCATAACCAATTATTGTAACTGCTTGGTTTGTTAATGGTGATTTTGACAAACCTGCAGATAACTAACAGCTTGTATAGCTCTGAATCTCCCATCCCTCCCCAAAACTAGTGATGACTTTGGTTAATGCCACGGGACTCTTGGAGATGATTCACGCAATGCTTACCAGCAGGACTCCAAAATGGGTAAGATGGTTACAAAAACAGATTGTATAATTCCTATCTGTAGAATCCATTTCACACCCTGACGTATTCCAACCACCCAGTCCATCTGTGTAATAGAGAAAAAGGGAGTTTTAAGCAGAGAGTTAGTCATGCTCAGTCATTTATAGCTCCGCAGCCTGCAGAATGTGTGAATACGAGCTCAAGTTGGTACAGATTGCAGGGTCATTGAGCAGCACACAAGTGAGATTTCACACAGGAGCACTTCTTCTGTAGTTGCCTGAGAATCTCAAAACTTGGCTGAAAGCCTTTGGTGAATGCAGAAATATTTGAAGTCATTTCTATGCCTGCACACAGAGAAAGCAAGAAGGTAAGGAAGAGTGTGCTGGACTAGATGACGCTGCAGGATGTGCAAACACAGAAGGCAAGGGCAGAGGGTTTCTTTAGGCACAGTGTAGCATTGAAAAAGCCAGATCTTCCCTGGTAAGATTAAGTTTATGTCCCTATTTATGTGGCATGTATGATGCGTTCAGAACTCAGCTTCTGATTCTTAAAAATAGATATTCTAACACCAAGAAGTGCAGAGAAAACCTCTCCCACGTGTTCTGAGTTCACCCAATACACAGTTCCCTTTCCCTCTCTCGAGCCATATTCAAGACTTAACACCAGCAAAGCCCCACTGACTTCCCTGAAGTACCTACGAGAAATCAGCTCACATTTCCTTTCATTTCTGCTTTTATTTCCTTAGGCTAAGTCTTCTTATTCATGTGGATGCATCTCTGTACAGTGCCACACGTGTCTCCTACTGATAACAGTGATTCCTGAGGTACCAACAAGAGTCAGCAGCACAGACTCAACAGGACACCCTCAAAGCTGTAAGCTGCAACGTCAAGGAGCCAAAGGCTCTGTGCTGCTGGAGACAGATCAAGCCTGAAGCTCTGTAAGTAACACTTACTGTTCTTCTCGAAGTCCCAAAAGACACAGTGCACCGCTGCATTCCCCTGGAAGCAGAGAAAAAGAAGGCTGTGACATTCAGTCAGCACACCTATAACCCATGTGTACTCGCAGATGTGCAGGTCACTGAAGATGCCAGCAGTTCATTGGGAATCAGATGGATTATATAATCCCAGCCTGGTTTGGGTTGGAAGGGACCTTAAGGCTTATCCAGCTCCATCCCCCTGCCATGGGCAGGGGCACCTTCCACTAGAGCAGCTTGCTCCAAGCCACTCCTGGTTTTCACCTTGCCCTTTACCAAGGGAAATGCCAGGAGTCAGTGATTTTCCCAGTTTTAGCAGTCTTCTTTTCTCTTGTAGTATTTAAGGACAGCAGAAAATCTGACAGGTTGTCCAGTTTAGACGGATGCCTATGTCTAATCTCAGTGGCTTCATGTGCTCTCGGAGATGTCATACCAAATTACCAGTGAATTTCACAAGTTATGACTAAGACTACAATAACAACCTGAGATTTTACACAATAAACCCCCACAGTTCTCAGCTTCTATTTTACAGTGTCTATGTTCCCATTCTGAAGCCAGGCAGGGAAGACACATAGAGCTGAACAGATATAAATGGGTATCCAAAGCAGTGTTTTCTCTTGGGGACATTCTAGTTTATTACTCATGATGCTGCAACAAACTTTCCCAAGGCACAGATTCATTTTCTTTTATTATAGTATTAATAAAGTTTAATAAAGCACAGAGTTTCCAGGAAGCCACCCTAACAGATAAGCTGATAAGATCCGTGATCGGCAGACTGTCAAATATAATGAGGCAGAGAGCCAAAGATGTAGGTTAGGATGATATTCCATTAAATATTTAATGAGGATAATTTTAAAAGGTCAAGGAAAAAAGTCTGAGAGGTGCCAGATGGTGGAGTAAAAGTGATGGAAGAGGGGGGGTTATCTAGATGAAGTCTCTGGGTACACAGATAATCTGCTAGAACTGACTGGAAGGAGCTTATTGACATAAAAGCAGCATTTTCAAGCTCTCATTAACTTGAACTTTAATCACATTCATCTCATGGACTAGTTTGGTTCTGCTGTTAGTTTGCAATATACTCACATGGAGGCTGGGCCATGAAGGTGGGCAACGCACAAATGCTAAGGGGGAACTCAGTCACCAAGCTTGACCTGTGCTCATTTAAAAATAACTTAAGGTAGATTTTAGTTTCAAACCATCATTTTGAAACCGAAGAAATTCATTTTGAAGATATCTGTGCAATGCTTTGATTTTTTTCTTTTACCTCTTTTGGTGGCTAAACCAATTCGCTGGATTTCGAGCAACTACAAATGGTTTCAGTCAAATCCAAAACCTGCAGTTTTTTAGCAAATCAACTGTTCCTTGGACAAAAATCAGATAAAACAAGGAAACAATGAAATGCCCCTTGCTGCCAAGCATGGGTTTAGTAGAGAAGAGATGCAAGCTTTGCTAACTGCAGAATTAAATACCAACATCTTTGTGGTCTGTGAGCATTTGGATTGATGATCACAGAGAGATCAGGCAGCAAAATGGTCTAAACTCATTTGTTCTGTTGATGGCTTATTGTAAGGCCAAGTGAAATAGGCTCTACTTCAACATGTCTCTGATAACATGAACACATCCTACCGTATTATGGTCTATGTGCTGAAGAGTAATAGTCACAGGCTCCTTAAGGGTCTGAACTGATGCATTTTCAATGCTGGCACTCACAACATAAGTATTCAACCTCTCCTTCGTTAAGCTGCCATCCTGCAGTGGGAAAATACACACATGAAAAGTAAAACCCAAGCTCTTCCCTGCTTCCATTTTCTTCAGTTGTATTTTTTGGAACACATGGGATGCCTGATGTAATTTAGCCACTTGCTACTTCATTAGAAAATGTAATTAGTTGCATATTCAGGCGCAGTCTCCAGAGCAGCTGAAGCAGAGCAGAGTTTCAGATGCATCATCTGGATTAAGAAAGCTGTATAATCATTTCAGTACATCAGAACATCCAGTTGTACATCATTAAGCTCATTAGGCAGCAGACACAATGAGGAGTGCTGCTTCTGTGTGAAAAGCATTGCTCAGCGCACTGTATTGCTCCATCATACCAAAAGAAATTTCTCCTTTTTAAATCACATTCACCCACTCCCCCCTGAGATAAGAAAACAGCAAGTAGTAGAATAGCCCTAAATGCTGTTATTTTAATGAAGACATAAATCTTGAAGTTATTTCAATGCTATTTGACATGTACTATGCATGTTCCTTAAGCAAGGGCTCACCAGCAGGGGAAGATTAAGGGATGTTCTTGTCCTACAGAAGTATTAGAACAGCTTTAGCTACAGACAGTGAGCACCAAGTCTGAGGTCTACAGACACCTCTCAGAGCATCCTTGCTGCAGAGAAGGTTTTGCTGCCTGGGAACATTTTCCCTGCACAGTTCTTAGTGCTCCATCAGTCTGATGCTAAATGTGCCCAGAACAGATAAAACTATTGGGTTTTTTCTTTAGCACACACCAAGAACAGCAGAACTGATTCCTGCTGTGTTCGCATTTGGTAGGAGTTGTAGTTACCACAAAGAGTGAAGTCGTGCCAAAGAAGTTAAACTGGATCGTGGAACGCTTCTCCGGGTCAGAGTGCTTGATCCCAAGGAATTTCTTCAGTGATTCTGGCAAAAACACCGAGGCCAAGGCCTCTTTGAAAGGGTTTTCCTGAATGTTGATCTGCAGGGAAGAGAGATGATGTGTTCAGAGCCGCTTTCCTCAGGTCGAATATGCCATGGTACAACACAGCAGGATTGTCTGGTTGAGTCGGTGGTCCCCGAGGTGATATTTTGCTCTCACCTTGAGATCCAGGCCTCTGTTGTAGGAGGTAACGCCAAAGGCCAGCCCTCCAAACGTGCTGGGGTCTGGACGAGTCACCAGCAGAGCCATGGAAGTGGTTATGACCGATGTGTTTCTTTCTGTGTAAGTCACCTTATAGCCCATCTCCTCAGTTGTCTTCAGGATACTTTACCAAGAGCAACAGCAAGAAGGAGAAGAAGCAAGAAATATACATCTCTTGAAACGTTCTGCTGGCTTCTTAATATGCACCCAGGAGAAGAGAAGCAGTTAAAAACCTCTGCTGTGATTTATGACCACAAGGAGCAATCACTAGAGCAGAATGGGTCCATTAATGGGTGGATGGCATTTTGTCTGGCACAGGGTCAGACGATGGTCGAGTTAGCATGTTGTAAGCTTAAAGTCTGGTAGGTGAATGATACCCTCCTATAGGAACAACACAAGGTGGCTCTGGGAAGACCCAAGTCTAAATTCACACCCAGTCAAATACTGTGTTTCATCTGGAAGGCAGTGACTTGTAAAACCTGCTGATTTGATTGTCTGCAGTCATCTAATCGTACCTCCAGGTGAAATATCAGAGCCAGAATAATATAGTCTGCAGGGGACCTCTGGAGTTCTGACATCCAGCTTCCTGCCTTCCCCAGGCAGGGAATACTTTAAACACAGGTCATTTGCTCAGGGTCTTGCCAGGGAAAGCTCTGGATATCACTGAGGATAGAGATTTCCAGGCTTTCCAGGCCCTGCTATCAGTGGGCTTTTTCTAAGTAGAGAGAAGAGGCTGGAATCTAAAGGAAGCAGTAAATTAGGGTTGCTTAATGCTCCTGGGTATTAAGCATCAGAGGCAGCTCCAGGTCTTGTTTGGCCTCCCTTAAGGCTATTCAGAGATGCAAAAGGGATAATACCCTATTGAAAACCTGCAAGAGAGCTGCCCCTGAGAGACTGAAGGAAAACCTTACTGTCCTTTGCTCTGGTGCTCGCTTCATGCGTCATCAGTCCCAAACACACAAGGAGCCCCAAAACTGCCCTAGAGCTGCAAAGCCTGGAGTTCAACTGCCCCAGAATATCTGGGATGCAAAGTCTCTGCTGAGATCTGGAAGAAGCAGCATAATAGCTCTCGTGAGGGTATCGTCATGGTGGGACTCAGCAGGCATCATCACAGTGGTCGTGCTCTTTGGTGCTTTAAAGTAAGGTCTGATTGATGGAAAAGTGAAAATAGCAAAGGTTGGAGTTGTGAAGGCACTATTATTACAATCTGCACCTGCCAGCTCGTTCCCCCAAGGATCCGGACTCCAGGGCCTATCAGAACATCATCTGTGTCCCTAAAACTTTGTATTTCATGGGAGAAGCCACAGTAAACATTTCACTTAAACCCCCTCCCAGCCTATTTGGGAAGGCAGAGGTGTTGAGTGCTGGCAGCTATCACAGCCCCCTCTCCACACACTGCGGTGCAGTAGATTTTGAAGGGAGAGCACAGAGCCGAAAGGATCACGATGCTGCTCACTGCTTTCTCCCTGACAGATTTTCTAAGCTGGTTTTGACTACTCCTCCTTGCAGCCTCCTGAGTTTGAAAAGGCAACGCAGAGGTGTCCAGTGCGAACAACTGGCTTCTTGCCTACACCATGCCTCACCTAGAACTTCAGTGCAAAGTTAACTTCCCTTGCTTTGAATATTTCTTATTGACATTTCTTATTAAAGTACTGGTTTACCTTAAGTAAACCAGAAAATCACTGATAATCAGGCTTTAAAATGAGAGATGCTGAGAGACTTTAATACAATGAATGCAGCATCCTTACACTGTTGGTTAGCAGCGGTCAGTGCAATGTAGGATAATCCCTCCTCTTTGGAGCTTCAGGCTGTGCAGTGAGAAGTGGGTAAGCTGCCATGGCCAGACCAGAGGTGGGTGAACTCTGTACTTGCATTTGCCTTTGAAGAGGCTGGCAGTAGCTTTCTGAACAGACATTTCAAAACCAAGTGGTTGAGTTGCCTTTAAATAGACAGTTGAGTCACCTTTAAGATCTCAAAGGACAGAGATGTTTTCAAAGTTATCTAGCAACTTCAATTTTAGCACGGGTGAGGATCACATAATGGATGTAGGATCCTAAATGTAGATTTGGAAGCCCTCCGTGCTGGGATGTGAAGGTCACCTTGGAGATGAGATGGCAGCTCAGCAATCTCTGCTCTGCCTCCAGACTGAGATGCCCACAGAGAACAACCCTGATGGTGACTTCTGCAGAGCTGGTGCTGATAAAAGCACCTTTGCCAACACAATAACCAGTTTCTACTGCTAAGAACCACAAACACGTTTAAGATCCAAGTATGGATATTGCTAAGTGTTGTGGTGCTACTTTAATGGACTACTCCATGGTGCCTTTGTAGCTTAGGAAGCCACTTCTGGGTGTTATCTTACTTACCTATTGGTCACTTTTCTCATGTTCTCGTCTTCTATTTCTTGCAGCAAAATATAGTTTAGTATAGACAATATGGACTCTGCAAGTGCCACGCTCACGTCTGCAAGCCTTACAATCTCAGAAACTTTACTTGTGATGACTTCCAGTTCTTCCATTTGCAGGGTTGCATTTGGCAAGAGGTATAGAATCTGCTCTGCAACATCCTGTGCATTCTCTGAGGAAAAAGAAGAAAGCACGGGTGATTTACGTGGCATAGCTATATGCCTACTTGTACAGTCTAGCTATACAGCTCAATGCCTCCATGTTAAAGCAAGGAACTGGTCTGCTTCTGTTCTCTTTCCATATGGATATAATGCTTCCAATCTACTACAGAATTATGTCCTAAGAGTAGGTCAATGAGCCCTCAACATATCAGTGAAGCTGGCAAAAAGTAAGACCTGGGTATCTCAGCTTGTATGTTAAAGGAGTCAGAATATTCTCACCTCCTTTTAGATTCTAAAGGTTACCTGTAAGCAACATTTACTTTTCGCTTTGGTCATGCTTACAAGTTCAGATTTTGGAGTTCAGATTTACACAAGTTCTTCCTATCTGCCCAAATGCTGCTTAACCAGGGCAGCAGCAAAAGCCATTTCTGAATGATAGAGTTTGAAAAGCTGTATTTGCCATTCACCATCTCATCATCTCTCCTCAGTGTTTTTATAGAAGCAGTTTTCCACCTGGGGACTCAGACAGCCCGCATGCAACTGCACATCTCTTTCAAGGCTCTATTATTTGATGCCACTGCTGAGTAGGTGGATGAGCAATGGTATTGGTTTTGTTCACCATTCAAACAACTTGTACTGTTTGCATAGCTTAGCAAAGATATAATCAGGCGGTTAAAGGTCACCTTAGAGCTTACATGAATTACAGCACAAACTTTTCGCTTCCATACACTAATCAGTGCCTCTTTGTACAACATTATCAACTACTTCAGTGCAGTAACATAGGCAAAACCTGTCATGTTATTCAGCAGTAATTCACTTTGTTCTAAATCTAATCTCTGATTTGAGACAAGTCTTCAAAGTGATTGCTAGAGAATTTTGAAGCACCTGCAAAAATTCATCTACATTAAAACCACTTTAAGATGCCCAGGTGAGCAGGATGCACATAGAACAACCTTATTGCTTTGGTTCTTCAGATGTCTAACATAAGCATTATCTAAGTATAACTGTTTTTACCTTAATTCACTGTATCACTGAAGTATTTGATGCCTTACCTTCTGTTATCATGGTATCCTGGAGGTCTAAGATATTATTTGGGAGTTCTTCCAGTAATCTACATTCAGTCAAATCTGGTTTCCTCCAAAAAGCTTGCTCCAGTTCAATATTAATTCCACTGAAAAAGGAAAACAGTGTACATTGTTACAAGAAAAAAAACATGTATTAATGGATGTTCCTCATATTTCCCACTCAGGTACATTCAATATCATTACTTAGCCCACTTTTAAAACTGACTTGCAAGCCAGATCTGACTTAGCACTCATTTAGCAGAGTGGGAGCAGAGCCCAAATGCCAGAGCAATTTGAAATGCATCTGGAGGTACTGGAAGGCAGAGCTGTGAATGGATGGCACAAACCACTACCGGGCATCCGTTCCCCCTCCCTGCTCAAGCAGAGAGTCAAGTGCTGCTTGTGCTTGCTGCAGGTGATGAAGTGATGCAGGGCTCCCTTCTCCCGCAGCCTGTGCTGGAGCATCCCTGCACACTCCGCATCTTCCTTGGCACGGCGGTGCTGTACGCCACGGCACGCTGCCATCTCCTTTCCCACCACTCCGAGCTTGGCTCTCCCTCCCGTTTCCATGCAGGAACCAAAAGGAGATGATTTTGTCACTCACCAGCTCCTCTCAGCAGACTGCAGAGGGTTTTTCCTGCAGTTCACCGCCGCTTTGGCCGCTGGCTTTGTTAGCGGCCAGGAATAATTCCCCTTGTAGGTTGTGTGGGAAAAGCTTTCTGGACAATCCATGAGGGCTGAGGAAGAAACACATAGAATCCCTTTCAAAAGATAGAATAACTGAAAGGTAAACACCACCCCCCAACACACTGTTCTCTGGCCTCCTTTCCTGTTGGGAATGAGCTGTAATCTGCAGACTGGAGAGGAGCATTTGACAAGTTTACTGGCTGCAAGAGAGCATTTTGCTGAAGTATTTCATCTGTTCTTCTATAGCCTTCTTCTCTTTTGCTTGGCAAGGTCAGTTCTCAGGTAAAGAGTCATTCTCCCAGCCTCACCAACCATATTTAATGTCAGAACATCCTTCAGGCTTCTCTAACCTATCTGAAGGTGCTTTCACACTGCCCCTCATTATCCCCTCAGTGCCCTTCCTCCAGGCTTTATTTGGCTGCAATAAATAGATGATCTTTTGTAAGTCTGTGGTATAAGATGTGCTTTTGAAGTCCAAGTACAGTTTTATAGCTCTTCTCTCTGGCTTCCTTCTGTGTTTTAAGGAGCAATGGAGATTGTAACCAAACCAACAAAGAGAGTGGAACTGGAGAACTTAAAGAGGGACTATTTATAAGAGCAAGTAGTGATGGGATAAGAGGGAACAGCTTTGAACAGAAAGATGGTAGACACAGGTTAGATATACGGAAGTTCTTTTCTGTGAGGGTGGGGAGTGTCCTCAGAATTACAAAGCATGCGGTTTCCAACGAGCTTTTAATGAAGTATTACATTACCTATTGGCTTGACAGCCACATCTTCAGGTTTCACATACAAGGATAATAGTCCCTCTTCATAAGTGCCATTCAAGGATTGCTTGACCTTGAGACTCAGCGCTTCTTGTGTTTCAAGTGATGCAGCCTTTATAATGGCCTTACAGATGTAGCTACAAACATGATACACAAACAAGGCTACCATATTAGTGACATTCCACAATTAGAAGTGACTACAAAATGAAGAAGTAACCCAGAAAAGTATATTGAATTGGATAATTTAGGTATGTATTTTGTTTGCCATAAGTGCAGTCCAATGGCAAGTGTCGCTTCTTATGCACACTAGTACCCTATCACTGGAGGTGCTTTATAAAGGATGAATTATTGGGAATACAGACACAGGAATCTTTTTATAGCTTCATGATAAGTACCACAAGAGGTTTCCTGTTCATGTTATCCTGGCACAGGAACACCTTTGTCACAAGTAAGCATTTATCAACCATGTTTTAAAGTCTGGAGTGAGCTAGACATAAAATGATGAGGTGCTTGGGTACCCCTGTGTCCAAACAGAGGTGGCAGATGCCAAGGTCTCTGGAAAACTGGGATTTAAGTAACTGCTTTCAGTATCTCCTTTGGATTCCAGCTTTTTGTCCTCAAAACAGCTGGTATCTTCTGGGTAACTGTGTTTGCTGACTTCAGGAGGTTTGGAATGACTGTGTCTCTCTTTGGATGGCTTCAGGCAAGGCAGAAAGATGCAAAGAGACCGCTTTCAACTGTAGATAGAGCATCTCAATGGACCTTTAATTTAACCGGGGGCAAAGAATTGAGATGTCCTTAGGACAGGGATGTTTCAAGTGTTCCCAGCTCACTCCTGTCTCTACATGACTGTTCCCCACTAAGCATGGCCTTTGTAAGCCGTTTTCAACCACTCAAATGTGATGGGAACCCAGCTCCCCTGCCTTTTCTGGGCTGTGGTCAGAAGGCAATAGGATGTCCTGCAGAAGAGGTGCGGGATTCATCCTGGCAGCTTCCTTGGGCATTGGCCCCAGTGAAGGATCTGAAGCCAACTCTTACATTGCAGCACAAACCTCCCAGCTTGCCATGGAAGCACTTGGATCCTCTCAGGATATGGTGTATGAGAGAGAAACCTTGGATGCTCAAACACTTTTCCCCAAGTCAAGCATTACTGTGGTTTTGACTCTGCTTCTGCTTTATGCAACTAAAGGTTCCACAGTTACTCTGACACTAAAACAGCTGAGGAGGAGATAATTCCTCCTCACCCTAAAAAATGAAATCAATATGAGCTATGGAAACCCAGTTCATAACCATGGGTCTTACCTTTGGGACAGCTGCTTGAGCTTCGCCTTCAGTTCGCATAGAAAGACACAGCAAGTTAGAAGCTGGTTAAAATCAACTGATGCAAGTTGGATTTTAAGGTAGGCAAACAGCAGAAACTCAGTGTCCTCATTTAAAATAAAGCCTATTGCTTTAAATGCTATTGGGGCCTGACTCTCTGGAGTTCCCTTTGTTCCATAGAGGTACATCAGAATAAAAGAACATCAGAGTGCATCAATGCTGCCTCACGCAGAGAGCACAGAACGTATCAGTCTCTACAAGGACAGACTGGCTTTCCAGCCCAGCTCTTTAAATGGGGTACACCTACCAGATTGAAGGTCAATGTTAAGCCACACAACTACTATATCCTCCCTGGAGAGATAAGAAAAAGTAAGTTTTTAACTCAAAACTAAGAAATTACTTACATGAGGCCTGCTATAGACATTGCTTTGTGGATAATTACCCCTGCAAGCAAAAAGGAATAGAATCATTATTTCAGAGCAAGCATATAACATGCCCCATTCTGCTATCACCTAAAGACTTTATCTCGTGACCCCAAGGAGCCAGACCTTGCAGCTGAGGAGTCATCTTGAACCCAGCCTAGGTGTCGCTACAGAAATCCCCAAGGCCAAACGCTGTAACAGATATGCACCCTGACAAAAAAATGCTTCTTCCAGAATGGGATCTCCCCCTTATGATTTTCTGAATTGGCTTCACCCCGTGTAAACAGTGCAGCGTGTTGCTGTGTTGTCAGTTGTACAGCAAACAGTAACTGTGGGAGTCGGAGAAGAAAGTAGGAAGTCGAAATATGCATGAAATAACACCCCATGTCTGTGCAAGTGATACTTTTATGAATTGCTAAATGTCCCTCCCAGCTGCTCACAGTTTGGATGTGAATCATAGAAACCTAGAATGGGTTGTGTTGAAAGGACCTTAAAGCTCCTCCGGCTCCAGCCCCTGCCACGGGCAGGGACCCCTTCCACTGGAGCAGCTTGCTCCAAGCCCCTGTGTCCAACCTGCCCTTGAACACTGCCAGGGAAGGGGCAGCCACAGCTTCTCTGGGCACCCTGTGCCAGCACCTCAGCACCCTCACAGGGAAGAGCTTCTACCCTGTCTCCAACCTGAACTTCCCCTGTTCCAGTTTGAACCCATCACCCCTTGTCCTATCGCTACAGTCCCTGATGAAGAGCCCCTCTCCAGCATCCCTGTAGCCCCCTTTGGACACTGGAAGCTGCTCTGAGGTCTCCACGCAGCTTCTCTTCTCCAGACTGAACAGCCCCAGTTCTCTTAGCCTGTCTTCATATGGAATAAAGCTGGATTGGGCTGAAAGCTGTGACCTAGAGGAGTCTTGGGCAACAATGCCTTGCTTCCGAGCAGGGTTTGGGAACTGTAATATCCTTTCATTAGACACTGCTATGCAAGAGCCAGTGTGTACCTGCTTACACAAACGAGACCCTCACTGTGAGGATGGATGTGACCTCTTCACACTCACAAGCAGCCACTGAAACAGGGCTTCAGCAGCCCTAGCAGCCTTGCATTAGGCAGGATATATATATTGAGGTCAATAAGCCCAGCAAGCAAAACGTGAGTGTTCTACATGATCATACAGCTATGGGGGGGCTGGTTTCCACCCTTGGCACAGGACCGGTCATTTGGAACCTGGCTGCAATTTCACTCACAGGACAGAGGGTGGAGGTGACACCACTGCAGAGCCGGAGGCTTACCTGACTTTAAAGTTTGGCACAACAAATTCTTCTCCAGTAAATATGATACGAAACTGGAAAGAAAACAATGACATTTTTATTAACTTGATTTGTTGATACTTCCTCTATTTTAATTGCCATCGAAATTTCTCAATCCTAATGAAAATGGCTACAATTTTTGGCAAAATATCAGCACTTTTCCCTTCCTTCAGCATTTCACTTTATCTTGTTCAAAGCGTGCTGGATAACGTGATTCTGAGACACCGCAGCAGTGTTACATGGGTACTCATTTCTGTGTGGTCCCATCAGTTTACGTGCTCCACCAGCAGTCCTCCTCATCTGATACTTGCTAGAAAGACATGAGAGTGAGAAAAGAAAGCTACTCACCCAGTTTTCGAGGAGGTTCCTTGCGTCATAGTAATCAGGAGCTCTCTCAGTTTTGTAGAAGAGGGAAAAGTTCATCTCAGTGCTGAAGAAGCTGACTGTAAGAAGAGAATGTAAGTGAGATGCGCCCTGGAGAAGGTGCCTACTCCCCTTCCTGTCTCCTCACCCCTCCGTTGAACCATTCCCATGGTCACTGGGGCTCTTTGGGAAATCCCAGTGTCCAAGTCTAGATGACTGCTGCATTGCTAGAAACGTTATTAGCGAGCCCAAGGGCCGAGTTGTGACAGCTTAGCAAACAAGGTGGGGGTCATACTTGTGGGTGCACCGGGTTGGCTTTTACTGCCTGCAAGGAATGCATAGGAAGAGATAGGAGGATCTGCTGCCAGGCAATACCTTGCTAAACAGCAATGGCTTAAACATGTGACTGAGTCTTGAATTGTCACAGCTATGGTGTCAGTGGTGAGCATGTCAGCATTTAAAAGGGTCTCATTTAGTGCTTACCTGGAACGGTACCATTGGCACTACCGGTCGGAGGCAACGGGGGCAGCGTAGGAGCCCTTGTGGATGATGCTTCACTTGAGCCTGCTGAAAAGGACATTAAAAGGCCTAAGAATCCATAGTGGCAAAGGGATAAGGAAGAGCAGAGCCCACTTAAGAGTCCTTCAGCAAAGGTCATCATAGCAAAGAGCTGCTGTTGTTCCACAGACCTCTGTGGGGTCAAAGCAGTGGGGGGAAGCACACCTACACATGGAGTTTTTTATGTGTCCAGAGATAACTACAGCATAACAAGGGAGAAAACAGGATTGGCAGAGTTGAGATCACAAGGAAGACCAGAGCTCATGCACCATTATCCAATTCACTGCTTGTGTTGAAGAGCCATTATCTCTCTGTTCCCTTCTTGCTTGTGCAACCTCCAAGAAAGGAGCTTGTCAAGCGCCGAGTGCTAACAGTTAACATGCAGTAATGCAATGTGAGATGAACAGTGATATTCATGGTGTCTGGTTTAATGCTAACCTGGCATAAGGGTCCCCATTATAGACACCAGCCATCCTGCCTGTTGTTTTCCAAGGAAAGGATTCCAAGAACTCATTTGTGGCTGATTTCCTCGAAGTGAATCACCCTGTCAAACCAGATAGGGCTTTCACATTTCACATGTAATCTGCCACCTCACCAGGCAGATGGGGACAAAACGGGTCATGTTTGTCACAGGGACTACAGCAAACGGCAGGGAACCAAATCACCAGCTAACATTACAAGCCTTGGTGTTGGAAGATCAGCAGGATCACCACAGTTTGCTCTACAGGTACTGTTTTCTTCCTGTGCTGGTGCTTTGTGGTTTTCTCTTCACTCAAATGACTGAGACTTGACATTCTAGGTCTGACTAAGAGGAATAAACTAACACAGGAACACAAAGCCAGATGCCTGTGAATAAGGAGTGTGGTTGGAAATCAGTAGGATAAGGCTGTCCTTCAGAAAACATTGTTTTCTCTACAGGAGTTCAAGGGAAGGAGAATCAGGGTGCTTAAAATGTAACAGACCATTCAAATCAATGACCATCCATTTGAATGGGTCAGACATACTCTGACCCATTCAAATCCATGACAATACATCCATGGACATAACAGACACAGGGTCTATCAACAACTTGAAGCCTCCTGTTTTGATCCTAAATAGCTTCAAATTCTTTTGTAAAGCAGAAAGGAGAGCTGAAGGCAAAAAAGCCATTGAAGTCCAGCTCTGAGTTGCCTCTTGCAGACAAAGCTCAAGAGTCTTCAGCCTCCCAGTGTTCCTCAATGGTGCCAGTCTGTGGTTAAACAGCAGCTTCAGCCCCATCATAGCATCCTTAGCAGAGGTAGCACACTCGGAGCTTGTGGGAGCTGCTCTGCTCCTCACACTGGTGGCAGTGGGATGGGGAGCAAGAAGGAACTTCTTCTCAGTGAGGGTGACGGAACACTGGAACAGGCTGCCCAGGGAGGTTGTGGAGTCTCCTTCCCTGGAGACATTCAAAACCCGCCTGGACGCATTCCTGTGTAACATTATCTAGGTGTTCCTGCTCTGGCAGGGGGATTGGACTAGATGATCTTTCGAGGTCCCTTCCAATCTCTAACATACTGTGATACTGTGATACTGTGATGTTCCAAGGATCAGACTGCCCTGCAACCTGCTTCTGCAGAGCGGTGCCCTGTGCAGCACAGCCCCTGCTGCTCCCAGAGTGTACAGAGAGCTGTGGAACCAGGCAGCCTGCTTTGCCCATGCTGCTTGATGAAGCTGAGATTTTCATTTGGACACCTCTTTACTCAGGCCTTTTGCTTCTGAGACAGTACTGAAGTGCTGGGGAAATAAAGAGGACTGATTTCCTCTGCTTTACTCTTAACTAAAACCCTGGCAAGCCCAGGAGCAAGCTGCCACACTGCCATTTAAAAGCCATTGCCTGCAATAGGTCAGAAACAGGACCTGATATAAGAGGTATTTGCTGGTTCTTTATCTGGGAGAGATCCACAGGGTTAGAGCATCGAGCTGCACGGTAGACCTAGATCCTCAATACACAGACCTCCTACCAACAGCCGCTAACTGCTTGACGTACACATGAACACGCAGAGAACAAGGAGCCAGAAGTATCTACTTAACTACAAGCAAAACCCTAGAAGCAAAGGAAAAGAACTCCTCTAAGGACCTGAAACGAAAGGGATGTGGTTTTTCTCCAAGTCCTCCCCATCCTCACAACACATACTGCCATGAGAACACAAAGAGCAAACCCCAGCATCCCCAGTGACTAATCCCACAGTTCAAACCTGCAGTGGAAACCTGTGTGCCTTCCTGTGGTGTGAAGCTGCAGAAATGGGTTCTGTGAGCTCCAGTGTAATGCTACAAATAATTAACCCCTGGTTTCAAGCTGATGGAAAATGAGTGTCTTGTTATTGGCTTTATTTAAGAGCTGCTGTCATAGAGGGAGTGTGATGGGAACACGGGAGGCCCGCATGCCCTATCACTGGAATAAATCCTTTCTTCTTTCCTTACAGAAACACAGATATCATATTAGGCTAGGGTTTCTCAAGCCATAAACCAAGCTGTTTGTACAGCCAAGGCTGAACTTGTTCTTCTGGCTGTGTCAGTGCTGCAGATCCTCTCCTGATAAGAGGAATCTGCATGGAGCTGGGTGATTACAGGCTCCACCCTGCTCCTGTTATCAGTGTAATGCTTCAGAACCCATGGCCTCAGGGGTGATGTCTGGTATCACCCAGGATGAAGCAGAAGATAACATAACATGGAGAAATGGCCAAAACCAAAGCCCAGGCTCATTCTAAAGGGAATGTACCCCACTGAGTGCTGTGCTCCTGTCCCAGCAAACAAAGCACAAGGACAGCTCCACAGATTCTCATTTCCTTCTTTTTCCTATTATCACCTGAAGAAAAAAAAACCCAAATCTCTGTTAATTCAAAGCTCATTCCCAGCAGGCAGGTGTGGGACCAGCCACCTGCAACTTCATTTGCTTCCATTAACATGCATGGTAATTCCATTCACGAAACAAGGGCTAAGGCGTGATGACAGATGGGGTCTGAAGCACCAGAAATACTGGGCTGCTGACATTTCTCAAGCCCTACGCATGGGTTTTGATTTGGTAACTTAATAAATGGGTTCTTTGGCACCCTGTAAGGGTACATAAATATGTATGTTTCCAATCAAAGAGCAGCAAAAATTAGGCCAGCCAGTAAGAGAGCTGTAATAATAAATAGCTTTCTCCATCATAAGCACTCATGTTCAGGTATTTTAGATTCATCCCTCTCACAGATTACTTCAAATTAAGAAGAAAATCAGGAATCGGTGTGTGGGTGAGGCAGGGGGAGGAAGAGCTGAAGACTGTGAGTCAGTGAGAGGATGAGAACACACACTTCGCTTTTAGCAAAGGCCCAGCTGAGCTGCAAAAGTAAAGGATCATCTTCAAGAGCTCTGGGGGGAAAAGCAAAGGCAGGACAAGACCTTTACTCCTGCTCTCAAGCAGAGCCAGTGCAGTCGCTGTGATAACTGTACTGCTTATAAAAGGTCCACAGACCTCCGTAAGGATGCTTCCTGCTGCTTTCATGCAAGAAGTTTCCCTCACTTTGCCTAAATGAGTCCTGCCTTTCCAAACCAAAGCAGGTTCCCCCCCTTCCCAGCACCGCTGCCTAACTATCAAGGTGAACCAAGCAATGCACAGCTCTCTAAACAACATCTATAAGCACTACAAGCAAACCTCGCAGCTAGTAATGGTTGTAGGGCATCACTAACAAGCACTAACATGACATGAGCAGTGAAATGGCGCTTCCCCAGGGCATTTCGTTTCAGAGCAACACTTGGGCACAGCTATTTCTTACATGCAAACTCAATAGAAACGGATTGTCCGTATGGGATCACATGAACTGCAGCCGAGTGCAGCTTCCCTTATCTGACAGGCAGGACATCAGTCTCAGTGTGTATTTACACCACTCACTCATGTATCATCAGTGTGCAGTAGTTAGCTTATGAATTTGAGTTAATTAAAATAAGGAGTAGATTTATAGTGGAAGCAAAGGTCTTGCCAAGATCTGACCTGTGACAGATTCCCAAACATGATTAAGTTTTATCTCTATAACCAGGACTTCAGAACAGTCGTCTTAGTTATTGCTCCTGGGAAAATATCCGACTCCAGTAACCCTTCCCACTGTGTGGAACGCTGTGGATCCAGCAGTTCATAGCACTGTGAGCAAGAGTAACCTGTGAGCATGCTGGTGTAGTTCACCACTTGTGAGACATGCTGTGTTTCTCCTTGAGGAGAAGAAGGGCCAGCATTTTCCAGAGTGAATGTCCAATTCAGGCTGCACTGGAGGATCCTAACGAAAGGAAGTCACTCGGTTCTTGGGGATGGCTTTTAGAGGGGAAAAGTGCTTTGAAAATGCTTTGCCCTTAGGAAGCCTCTCTCTGATGTGCTTTGTCTCACTAGAAAGTTGCTCAGATTCAGGTTATTGGGCTTGAAAAATCAAAGTCCAGGAGCACTGAGCGGAGGCTTTGATTTTAGGTGCTAAACTGTTCATCAGCAAGTATGACTAAGCCTCTCCCAGCTCCCTGCCAAGACAAGCACAGGCCTTTCCCACAGAGAGAACGGCCCAAGGGCAAAGGTGTTAATTGGAAAAGGAAAACTGAGGCTTCCTCCTCCCTCCTCATCAGATCATATCCTGCTTGAATTCGGGGACACAATGGGGGAATAGCACCTACAATAGGCAGTGCAGGAAGAAGAATGCCTGGGTAAAGGCAATGGGGCAGGAAGCTAAGAAACAGATGGGCAGGTTGTCATTTACAGCGATAGTTGTGAGTGCCCGTGTTCTTTGGTGCAGAGCAAGTGAGTGTGCAATGAGGGAGTGGGGGGAAATCCCTCCCAGCACAGGATTCAGCAGCAGGCAGGGATTTCCTGATGCTTTTCTCATAGCTTTGGGCCCCGGTTCCATGAAACCTGGAACAGGAGATGGGAAAGTGCAGTGGGAACTGTGGTGAAGTCAGGGGGTGCTGCCCTGGATGGAGACATGCTTAGAATTCTCACACTGGACACCAGAAATGGGCAATTATTTCATACTGTGCCTCCAATCTCCCTGAGGAGCCATCAGCTTACAGACAATAAATAAATATGCATTCACTCTTATTGTGCAACACTGAATATCATGGCATGTCAATAGTTTTACATAAATCAATCAGTTTGGCAATCTCAGGCCTCTGTTTTCATCCTTTGTGGTTTAAATACCATGTAGTACTTACAGACATCAGGATTGAATGATGAGATAACCCAAACCAGTGTTCCCTCATCCACAGCTTCTCTACCTGCTGTTTGGGGTGGGCAGGCAATGCTGTAAGCATGGCTACAACTGCCTGCTCCTGGTCTCAATCACAGCAGCAGCGACTCAGAGGCTATTGTCCTTAGCAGTGGAGGGTTCCCTACTCTCTGTGTGTGATCCCCAGCAAGACAAAACACTGCAGACACTCACCACAGCGCAGGTGATGGTCCGCAACGGGCAGGATGCTGCTGAAGTCCCAATACTCTTCCTCCCAGCTGACCGTGTTGCCCATGGCGCAGTCCAGCAGCTCTTCCTGCCCCAGCACACGGTCCCACATTTGGAAGTAGTACAAACTGCCAATGAAGCTGTTGCTCACCCGCACAATGAAGCCATCCTTTCTCTTGTGCAGATGACCCAGCACCAGGCTCCCGTTGGGTTTCAAGCACCCAGCGCTGCCAATGGTTTCGCTATGCACGAGCTCACCGTCGCAGTAGACCTCCAGCAGTTGTTTCCTGGTGTCCCACGAGCAGCACACGCTGTACCACACAAAAAGGGCCAGGTCAATCTCAATGTCCCGTCTGGTGCCAAAAAGATAGAGCCTCAATTGCTTGTTTTCTCCAGAGAGCCCAAGCTCTAAATCATTGATGTCCAAGGAGGAGTTGTTAGCGTCATAGGAAAAGGCTGCCCAAGAGCTGACGTTGGCAGTCCGCTTTAGGTCAATGCATGCTGTGAATTGGCACAGCTGAGGGATGCTGAAGTTCACCAGAGACACAAACTTATCATTCCTTCCCAATAAATCCAGTCTTTCTCCATGCAGGTAATGTGCTTCTGTAAGGAAATGGCAATAGGAAAGAGGGTAAAGAAGGGAAATGTCACTTCCAAAGGAAAAGCTGCAGTAGGACCTCATGCGGGTACCTCCTTGAGTTATGGGTAAAAAAAGTTAAAGTTTCTTCTATTTCTAGTTTCTGCTGCCTTTGAAATTGAATTCTGAGCCCACCCACACTACCAGGAAAGAGGAGTTTAATTCTGCAAAGGAACAGCTGAAGTGCTCAAGATGTGCCAAACAGGAATCAATACAGAATCCATATCCAGGGTCCATATGGTCCAGTATGGGTGTCAAATGCAAAGGTCTGGGTTCAGCACCCTCTTGATAAAGAGCTTTGCTCCCAGGTGAGGTGTGAAGTCAAGGTCTCTGCTAAAAGCCAGCCATAAGGACTGTTCTTTTCTCAGGCTGCAGAGCATTCATTTGGGCATCTTTCTTCTTCATTACTTTAAATATAACCTCATTATAGCTTTACATCCTACTCAAAAGGCTTTGCTGACAGAGGCAACTTCTCTGAGTAATACTAACCACAGACCTACACAGGCAGTGAGTAACTTGCCCACAGGTAGCCCCCGCTCTGGCTGCGGAGTAGTAGCTGCAATGGCTCTACTTCAGCCAACCTCAGTCCCTGAGCAGCTTGGCAGAGGCACCAGCAAGCTGTGAAGGGTTTTTCACTCCATTTACCTGGTTTTGCACTCCATGTTCAGTACCTGTTGTATATGGGGACGGGAGGCAGCACAGTGCAATGCTACGTGTATCTCTACTCTGATCCTTGGGTTTGCCATGGTCTCCTACTCAGTGAATCATAGAATAGTTCAGGTTAGAAAGGACTTTAAGATCACCCAGTTCCAAACCCCTGCCATGGGCAGGGACACCTCACACTAAACCATGGCACCCAAGGCTCTGCCCAGCCTGGCCTTGAACACTGCCAGGGATGGAGCATTCACAACCTCCCTAGGCAACCCATTCCAGTGCCTCACCACCCTAACAGGAAAGAACTTCTTCCTTGTATCCAATCTAAACTTCCCTGTTTCAGCTTCAGCCCATCGCCCCTTGCCCTATTCCTACAGTCCCTGATGAAGAGTCCCACTGAGGTCACCACCAGCCAAAGCCAAGTCCCTTCCCCAGGCAGGAATCTCTGTGCACATGCACATAGCAGCACCAATCCATAGGCAACACACTGAGACAGGAACACAGGCACCAAAGGCAGGATCCAACCTTTCCTCTGCAGGGGGTGAAGCAGCTCCACATTCAACATCCCAGCAGTCATTGATCAGCCTTATATTGTAAGCCAGGCCCCTCCTATTCAGGTGAGCTGCATCTTGTGTCATTACACTCACATGTGCTTCACTAAGTCAGGGTGTATTTCTCCTAGATAAGAATTGCCATTAGGTTGAGTCTTTTATAAGCATATTATTAAGGGCTTCCTACTGTATGTTCCTTTGCAGACCTGCCTGCCAGCCATGCACATCAGGTATTCTAACCCCCCCCCCCCTCCAGTATAACCTAGCAATAAATCTCTACTTCTACTAAGGGTTCTACACCTCCTGGACTGCAAAAGTAGCTGGCGCTTCTCCCCAGCTGCTTCACACACTTCAAATTGGAGGCAAAAGGAAATGATTTATTCACAGAGTCTAATTCTCTGTAGGTGATCAGAGGCGGTGCTTTGCTGTCCTGGTGTAACCTCGTGCGCTCAGAGTGGGAGGAGGACATTTCTATTGCACAGAACACTCTGCTATCGTTCACGTCTGTCTCAGCTCTAAAATCAGCTCCACTGCTGTGGAACAGGCACCCCCATCCTGGTCTGGCTTCCACCGCTGCAACTCGGTGCTAAGATGGTGGTTTGCACCTAAGAGAATCATTTTCCCCTCGAGTGGGAGTACGTAGGACTCAGAACATCCATTCCATGGAGGCCCAGGGGTGTTTAGCACCTCTGCCTTAGTGGGAGTGCATGAAATCACAGGGCCAGTGCTGGGTACTGCAGGAGAAGGTCCATGGTGGAGCTTTAGGGATGCAGGGAGGTGGGTGTAGCTCCACCAGTGAGTAATTCGTTACAGCACAACAAAACGCAACAGCCGTCTTCATCTGTACTTTCCTACAGGGCCCCAAAGGGTAAGAAGCCAGTTCCCATGGGTTTCTCCAAGAGATGGGAATGCCTGTGGGATTTACAACTGGCAAAACTGGCACCCATTCCATGAATGACCCCAGCAGAGACACACTGAGAGACCCCCATGGCGGGGGTCTTACAGCACACAGATTAGAAGCCTTTGGCCAAAGCTGGAGAAAGTGGGAACATTTGGCAAGACCTGGACATGAATTCAGTCTTTCAGTGCGGAGGTTGTGCTTGGAAAGAGCTCATCTTTCCTCAGTTTGTGCTGGAAGTGGCTCCAGTGCTGCAGGGTGCGTTTTAGAAGCACGAATTATCTCTGTGCCCTGCATTGCTCTAGAGGAGAAGTCCAAGAATGAAATACAAAACTTATGAGTGTTTTGCTGGGACTTATGGAGGAGCGAAAGGGTGGTTAGCGTGTTTATGAAGCCCAGTTTATTGTGCTTGCCCCAGGGCCTGGGTTGTTACTGGGGAGCTTGGTTCTTGACAGTAGCTCCGTGCTTTCCCTAGAACACCATGAAAAGAGTAAATGCACAGCTCTTATTCTACAGCGACCAAAGTCTAACTAGAAGAAACCAAACAGAAATGCAGGAGGACGCCCAGGAAGGAAAGAAGGGAATAATGACAAAGCCAAGAGGTTTTCACCTCCAAACATGGGACACCATCTGCAATGCAGCCAAAACCTGACATTTCACTTGTTGCATGTTTTCTCATCCCTACTTACTCAACTGCATGGAGATGTCATAGCAGCCTTCCAGTATCTGAAGGGGGCCTATAAGGATGCTGGGGAGGGACTCTTCATTAGGGACTGTGGTGACAGGACAAGGGGTAATGGGTTAAAACTTAAACAGGGGAAGTTTAGATTGGATATAAGGAGGAAATTCTTTCCTGTGAGGGTGGTGAGGCACTGGAATGGGTTGCCCAAGGAAGTTGTGAATGCTCCATCCCTGGCAGCGTTCAAGGCCAGGTTGGACAGAGCCTTGGGTGCCATGGTTTAGTGTGAGGTGTCCCTGCCCATGGCAGGGGGTTGGAACTGGATGATCTTAAGGTCCTTTCCAACCCTGACTATTCTATGATTCTATGATCTGCAGCCCAGACTGAACCAGCATCTCAGGGTGTGCATCGTGGTAGGTCTGCAGGCCAACATACGCCTAGGCATGGACAAGGACCCCAGTAGCAGTTGCAGTGAGAAGGGAGAGGTCCAGATCAAGACTAACTGCTGCACTGGGGCAGAACAAGGGGGCAGTGGGCTCGTGTATAGATACACATCCCTGTGATTAATCCTGAGGGGGATCACTGTACCTGCCAGGAGGACAACGTGAGCAGCAGCCATCAAGATGCAAAGAGCCTTGGCAGAAGAGTGCAGTCCGGGGCTACATGTGAACCTCTTCATTCTTCAGGCATGTTCTGAAAGAAGGATGTTGGTGAGCACTCCCTTAGCAGACGCTTGGCTGAGAAGTTCAACCTGCTCCTGCAATCTGAAACACACAGGCCAGGAGCCAGCAGCCCTCACTCGCCGTGCCCAAGCTGAGTCACTGGATGAGGAGCCTCTGGAAAGGTCAGACAAGGCTATGCAAACCCTCTGCTCTCTGTTGCCTTCTGAAAGAGGTGAGGTTCATGCAGTTACACGGTGCATGTACACTCTTCATCTATCCCAGCTTGGAAAAGCTGTTAGCAGCTTTCCACCTGCTTTAAGGAAAGGCGTTCATGTGTGAAGTGCTGAGGTTCCTACAGGTGTGGGGAAAACACAAAAGGAAAGCCCTAGCAGTGAGGTTAAGCTGTGGCTGCCCCATCCCTGGCAGTGTTCAAGGGCAGGTTGGACACAGGGGTTTGGAGCAAGCTGCTCTAGTGGAAGGTGTCCCTGCCTGTGGCAGGGGTTGGAGCTGGAGGAGCTTTAAGGTCCCTTCCATCCCAAACCAGGCTGGGATTGTGTGATTCTCCCAGCTGAGCTTTATCTACAAACTTCCATCAGTTTAATTGAGCCCTGGATCACACTGGGGAAGGGCTGGTTCCAGGGCAAAGCACCCACTGAACACTACAAGCAAAATGCAAATATGCCACTCTAAACTGGAATGAGTTTGTGCTTCAGTTTGACTGAAGGTGCTTTAAAGATGACTGCAGTTAAACCAGAGCCACCGAGTGCACAGGCAGCCCCAAACTCACCCCTAGAGCCCTGCACGCTCCCCTGTGTGCTCTACTTTCTCTATTGGCTTCAGCAGGCATCAAAGGCAAGGGCTTATTCTTGGTTTAGGACCACACTGGGTTAAATCTTCAGCCTCTAATGAGGTACATAAAAGGGCTGTAAAGAACGCACTAGATCCTCAGATAGTCTGAGTTGGCCAAGCTCTGTTTGATGGATTCGCTTGGCTTCGCATCAGATGCAGCCCTCCCCTGGGGCTCCCTTAAGTAACAACAAAGGGTTAACCCACTAAGGGTTACTACTCCCTGAGCACTGCCAAAATAGAAGTTGTCCCTTTGTGTCCAGACTATGAACGAGATAAACGTTAGAAAACTATAAAAGCACCTGAGCTAATAACAACTCTCCCAAATTCCCTTTAAAACGGCTCTTTGCAAAGCTCACAGCGTTAGGAAGCATCACCCAGTTTTCCATTTAGTGCTGGGCCAGCAAATCTCTTCTCACGACCTTCACCTTTCTTACTCCAGCACTGATTTGCTGACTTTGGCAGTAACACTTAAGGAACGAATCATTATGCTCCCAAGCCTGTGGTACCTAAGCAGGAATTCTTCCATATTCCAGGTGATTCATACTGTAAAAACACCATCGGCAATAAAAGGTGCTGCTCAAAAACTCACCTCCCTGTGTAGCAAAATCAAGGCGGATTTCTGCTGAGTGCTTGTCCCGTTTCTTCTGCCAGATGCCAAAAGACCAGCAAAGAGAAATAGGAAGAGATCAGATGGGATGTTGGGATGTTTCCAGTGGGTCAGGCGATGAAGAACTAGTGATTTCTGTTCTGAAATCGCATTTCCTAGGTCCTGGAAAAGCTGTTGTGCCAACAAATCTCTTCTCCCAGCCTTCTCCTTTATTACTCCAGCAATGATTTGCTGACTTTGGAGTAACATTTAAGGAGCAAATCATTATGCTCCCAGCCTGCGGCACGTCACAGGGCTGTAATAAGTTTTGTCCAGAGCAAAGTCCACAACGTGGGGCATCATAAAACACAAATTAGAAAGAAACAACAGAACTGAACAGTTCTTCTTGTTTCTGATTCAAAAGTGACTGCACTAATGAATATCAGTTGTAATTTTCCCCCAAATAGCCTCTATTTGTAACAGACAGCACGCTAGCATCAACCAGGATCTTTCTTCCCTCCTGCAAGATACTAATCTCATTGCCAGGTTCAAAAAGAGTGTGATCTTGCAGTTCTGCTCCCTCCCTGGATCTTGTTAGGGACATAAGAGGGACTGGAAAGAGACTGGAAAAGCCCCCCCCATGGCTGCTAAACACTGTGGTTCACTTGGCTCCTCCAGACCCTCTGCTCCAGCACAGACCCTCTCCCAGCCAAGCACTCTCCTGCCATGTACCAGCCTCAGCCAGCAGGTTTTGCTCTCTTATGGGGAGATCCTATTCATGGGATCACTAGGCATGCACTCCCTCATCAAATCCATGCTGCACAGGTTCTGGTATTCACATAAACTCTTGCATGAAGAGCCTTTCTCCAAGCATGGGACTAAACAGGGCTTTTGTTCAAGGGTGGGTGCTTTAGAAGTCATCTTTTTGTTACCCATTAAACCAGTATCATGGCATCATGCTATGGAAAGAGCTTTTACTGCAACCCCAGTGCAGCTGAGAAGGTTTTAGCTATCCCCTTCCTCCATCTTCATCTCTCTGTTTCTCAGGTTTTCAGTTCAGTTTGGGGTTTGCAGATGTTCAGCACAAGTTGGTCGTGCTTCGCTAGAGATGATGGCAAAGGGGCTGGAGCGCCACGTGAGGGCATCTCCTCTTTAACACTAAGCCACAGGCAGAGCCTGCTCTAATAACCAGCATCCTGCATCTATCTGTGGTCAAATCCTTCCTGGGAAGTTCTGGGGGAGGGGACGGGGACGCTTAGGATGCAGAGCAGGAAAACAGTGGTTAAAGTGTGCAGTGAGGAGCAGCAGACGAAGGCAGAACACATCCAGACTCACCAGGGCCACGCACTCTGCTTTACTTTGGATATGCAAAGCGTTTTTGCCAGGAGGTTGCTATGGTGACTTTTCAGCTCTCCCAAACCTCCTCATACTGTAATTACATCTCAAAGCCCACGAGCTGGGAATCTTCGATTCCTGGGAGGAAGCACGGGGGTGGCTGACTCTTCAGGATGTTTCTCAACCAGCCATTTTCCTTCTGAAACCAAGCCCACAGATTCAGCTCCTGGTGCCTTTCACAGCTGCTCACAGGTTCTACGAAGCCTTCTTGTCACCCTCCCAAGACCTCCTTCAATGACAGAATACCCTGAAGCATGTAAATATCACGTGTACTCTCGGAGGCAGGCAGCAGCTAGCCCATACAAACTCCTAGGTTACAGACCGGTTTTGATACAGAATTGGGTCTTTTCACTCCTTTCTCCTTTCAAAGCGAGGAGAAAATCTTTTTTTTGACCATGATTTAGTGAATCTTGCAGTTAGAAACCTTGGGAAAATCTTTATGATGTTGAGGGGTGTTCAAGAAATGCTATTCTATGATTCTATGATTCCAACTTACAGAATACAACCACAGCATCCAATTTACTCAGGCCCTCGAATGAGACATGTTTCATTCTGTCAGATTAATTTACCCTGGCAGCGTTCCCTGGGCACAGGCTTTTGATGGGGAAAAGATCATAGAATCATAGAACAGTTAGGGTTGGAAAGGACCTTAAGATCATCCAGTTCCAACCCCCCTGCCATGGGCAGGGACACCTCACACTGAACCATGGCACCCAAGGCTCTGTCCAAGCTGGTCTTGAACACTGCCAGGGATGGAGCATTCACAACCTCCCTGGGCAACCCATTCCAGTGCCTCATCACCCTAACAGGAAAGAACTTCTTCCTTATATCCAATCTAAACTTCCCCTGTTTCAGTTTTAACCCATTACCCCTTGTCCTGTCACTACAGTCCCTAATGAGGAGTCCCTCTCCAGCATCCCTATAGGCCCCCTTCAGACACTGGAAGGCTGCTATGAGGTCTCCACACAGCTTCTCTTCTCCAGGCTGAACAGCCCCAACTTCCTCACCCTGTCTTCATACAGGAGGTGCTCCAGCCCCTGATCATCCTCATGGCCTCCTCTGGACTTGTTCCAACAGTTCCATGTCCTTTTTATGTTGAGGACACCAGAACTGCACACAATACTCCAAGATTGCCCCAGTTGTTATCTGCTTGCCCCCAGCTCATCACCCTGCCTTTGCTGAGATGCTGCTACTGCTCTTTAGCAGCCCTTCGTTTTTCCTCCATGACCACAAAAGACACAGCTGTAAAAGCTTTATCTGGACATCTGTTCTGCAGTGATCCTGATTCCGCAACCCGGAATTGCTGGGATGGAAAGTGCTGCTTCCATGCTACACACCTACACTCCACTCCTTGGTTTAATGGCCCCAGAGTGACTGCAGCAGGGAGACGGACACAGATTGCAATGTCAACCTCAGAAGTGACTTTATTAGTGCTGTCGCCTCCTAATCCTCTGGAATTATGGATTGGGGAAATAGCCTCGAAGGTGATTTGGTGTTAGGAGGCTTTGGAACAGGTCCTTTATGGCTTGAGTGGTTAATGTGGTGTTAGACTCACCTTGTGGGATGTTTAAGCAATGGAAGAGGTAATGGAAGGCAAGCTGAGTGGCTGTGGTGGGAGTTCAAATGATGGAGAGATAGATTTGTAGCAAAAGGTGTGTGAAATGAAAAGACAGCTTCTCAAATGACCTGGTTAAACCCAGCTTGCCTCCACAACGTGGTGCTGTTGAGGACACCTGGTCTGCTCTGCGAGAGCTGCTCTGCACAAGCTGATTTACCACACTGGAGCACACGGTGGATCGGAAGCCCCAAGCGTATCCAAAAGGCTGATGTGAACCTCTGACAGGGACCCTGATCAAATCCCCTCACCTCTGTCACTGCAGTCGTCTCCATGTGAAGTGCTTGGGTGCATTTAGCTGCCCTTGATGAAGCTATCTTTGCCTTTAGTGCTTCCCCACCTCCCAGGAGAAGGGGATGCTCCTGGACACACAGCTTGGCCTGGGGAGCGGGATGGAGGGACTATTCCCTCCTTTCCCTAGCTTCTTCAGTTTTCCCCACTGGAATCTCCATCCCAGGCATGTACTTACTAGGAGATAAGAAGTGGTGGTTCTTTTTTGCCACAAAACTTGGTTAAATACATCCCAAGATACTTTTTACCTGCAGAACTGAGTGACTTTAAACTTTGGCTTGAGAAGCACAAAGAGCAGGTCATTAGAGCAAGGGTTCAGCCTCCTACTAGGTGAGCACAGCAAAAACATACAATAGCAGAAGGGCTTACAGCCACAACCCATAGCAGTTGTGCAGCTAAGTCACCAATACAGCTTTTTTAAGGTATTTATGATAAGTAAGAGGGATTATTTCTCATGGAATTCTATTTATATCTTATTCTGCACAAGTCCTTATCCTTCCTTTGTCAAAGGTGTAACCATGTTCCAGCCAGGACAAAGCATGCAAGGGCTTAACTACACTGAAGAACCCCATGTAACGACTCTATTAAAGAAGTGAAAGGTATCAGTGGAGACTGCTTGCTCATCACACGGCAAGGTGCTGCAGGTGTTTGCAGACCACGGGGACCACTGGATGTCACTATTGCCTCACACAAGTAGTACAGATGGACCTGCAAGGCAAACGCTGTCGTTGAAGCCAGAATAAAAGCAGCATCAAAAGGGCAGAGAGCTGCTTGTTTTGTTCAAAAACAGCGTTTAAAAGAAGGAGGAAAATCGCAAGGAGCAGGGAGGGAATTTTGCTGAACCGAGGGTGATCCAAGCTCATCGCCTTGGCTTTGCAGCAGTGGGAGCCCCGAGCCCAGCCAGGCTGCCCTGGAGGAGGTACCGTGTGCCAAGCTGGAGGGAGAGCCGGATTGCATCCCTGTCAGGTACACATTAGTGCTTAATGTATGAGCCCCAGAGACTGGAGCCCGGCTCGCAATGCTCTGTAATCCATCTGCAGAACAGGAGAGCTGGTCTGCAGCATCTCTCAGTCCTCCACTTCTTCAGCTCCTTCTTATGGTCCTGACTAGGTCCTGGCCACACGTACAGTGCAGGAAGGAAACCAGACAAACACAACACTGTCCAGTGGTTGATCATTTTCACTCGTCCCTCCACAAGGCAGGAACCCCTTCTCAAAGAGAAGGACGAACCATAAACCTGGCTCAGGCATCTCTTAAAGTCACCTTTAAAATCGTTTGTGCCACTGAGACAGAGCCTCTCTTGCACAAGAACACCAAAACCACAAACTAGGCCCTGTGCCTTTAATCTGTGCCAGGTTACACTGGAGACGCCCCCTTCCTATCTTTGGGATATTCACATAAGCAGGATGGAGCAATGGTTCTCATCTGAGCTGAACACCCGTGTCCAGGCAGGAGGACTTTGGAAAGATGGGGATGTCCATAACAGCCTGTAGAAGGAGCTCTCTTCAAGTTACTGAGGTCTGAGTCTTCTCTGACTTTACCCTGCCTGGTGGTTGTGGTTTCAAGATAAAGGATCCCAATGCATTGGACCATTTGCGTTGGAAACATGCCCTGGACCCACTCTCTGCCTGTTCCTCCCCACGTGCCATGGGGGTTTCCCTTCTGCCCTTTCTGTCCAGTCTGCTCCCTCCACCCTGCAGAAGGGCATTAAATCAGTGGTATTCCCAAACAGGGCTCCTGCTGGCATTCATAAAGTCTCCTGCATTTACAGCTTATCAAAGAATCACAGAGTCGTTTGGATTGGAAGGGACCTTAAAGCTCCTCCAGCTCCACCCCCTGCCACAGGCAGGGACACCTTCCACTAGAGCAGCTTGCTCCAAACCCCGTTCAACCTGGCCATTGAGCTTCCCTCAATGCATGTGGATGGCGGAAAACCCTCATCCC